GATTGAGTTTAAAGCTTGTCTGTGTTTGCGCTCTTTATTTTATTTCTCCTAGCGATTGTTTTAAGTCGTAAATTTTGCACCGTTAAAATTAATACAGTGGACGAAATCGCTTCATCTGTGGTTTCGTGTCCGACGAAAAAATGGTTGGTTGTTACTTTTAAAGATGATGCGCTTCTGTGGGAGGCGATTAACCCAAAAACGAACTATTGCAAAGTATACTTTTCTTGTAACTTTGTATTCATGAATAATTGTGTTTCTTTTGTTTCTCCATTTGTGTTCGTTTTGTGCAAATTATGTCACCGGATTCTACGTGACTTAAATAACTCTTACGTAGAAATCCAGTTTTCTCTGAAGTTTATAAAGATAAGCGTCGGAATAAGCCTTCCTTTCCTAGCCTAACTAAAACGGCACGGTTTGTTTTGAGAATATCCATTTCGAGCTCATTCTAAAGTTAACTCGAATTATTCAATGTAAATGATTAAGAGTTTTAGCAGCGAACAGATAGCTACAGTTGTCTTATTTTGGTACGTGAGAGTGGCCTTCTCTCAGATATTTTCATCGGAAGATCTTTATGTGATCAAGTACTTCGAAATAGGAAACATCTTGGTTTGTTAGGTACAAGGCAGCTGATAGCAGAGGTGTTGTAAAGTTTTCCGACAGCGATCGGTCAGACAAACGTTTAAGCAATCATATCTTCGAAGCTCTAAGCGCGATATACATCGAATGTACGCACTGTTTATTTGATTTGGCCCATGAATATTCTCTACGTCTACGAGTGTTGCAGAACCTCCAGTGAGAGCTCAGCTTAGGTGATTCGCCCGTCATAAATAAACTTGAAAGCGATTTGATTGTTTCTGCTTCCTTTAATCTATATTGGTAAAATAGTTTGTAAATTTGAAAAGACAATCGCTATTTGTTCAAAATTTCGCAGTGAGATGGACTAAGCCTTTTTCTGTCGCATCAGGAAGTTCCATCGAAGAATAGGTGCACTAGGAAATCGAGGGCCTTTCTTGGTTAACTGATGGCACAAGCAGCAATTTGCTCATGATCAGGTGTGCGCATGTTTAGAGCTTTGATTTATCTCTTCTTTGCGTGAATTAACGAAAGTAAAAGAAACAATAAACGCGTCCCACAAGTGTCGGCTAGGTTTATGACAAAATTGTAACAACTCTATGAGTGAATGAAGTCGTTGTATATGACGTGACTTAGTCAATGTCCAGCAGGTACTAATGAGACTGAAGGCGGGTTATCAAAACAAAGATCACCCGTTGTTTAACAAATCCGCATTTAAATTATTTGGAATCTTTTATCTGAACATAACCTTTTGAGAACAGTGTCAAGAGGGCCGAAAACTGGCAGTGGAAGGACATTTATTTGATGAAAAAAAACCCCTTGTAGAGAATACGTCAAGCCCACTGCTTGCGTAAAACCGCGGTTAGGGTAAGACTTCGTTTAAATAACCGACCGTAAATGTTTCATTGCTTTCATTGTGGTTAACCTTTTAACCTTAAAGAGAGACTAACATCTAATTTCTTTTTACGATATCACCTCTGAATCACATATTAAGGTCACAAGAGTGAATGAAACGATCAACAACCGGAGAAGCTCTTGATTTTCAGACAAATTCTCCTTGTCAGCATCCTAGGAAATGAATAGAGAGAACAGTTAGGGTGTAAAAGATTAATCTGTAGCAAAGTACAGGCAGTGCGAGGAGAAAGAAAATGTAGAAACATAAAAATTGCAAATTAGAAGGTTATCGCTCTTAGCGTCAGTGGCGTGTCTCTATAAGTTCAAAATAGTAATAATAATAATAATAATAATAATAGTAATAGTTACAATAGTTATGATTATGACAGTGATGATAATTTTTATATAATAATAAAAACCCAATGACTTCTTAATCCGATTTCTCGTTATACTTGGAGGCAATGTGCAATGTTCAATAAGGTTATAACTAACGAAATATTTGGAGCGATGACTGACTCCGAAAAACAATGCAAGGCCGAGTGTGAGATTGGTGGCAGTTAGAATCGCCGCAAAAGAGTTACATTTGTGTCTAGGAGTTCTAACTACCAATTTTAGTCGATGATTCCTTACTACCAATTTTAGTGGATGAGAAAATTCAAGCTGATGTAACAGCGCCTTTTCTTTTGTGGCTCTAACTGTTCTGTAGCTAAGGATTTGTCAGACTCTAAACCGGCGTGTTATGTTCCTCTCTTTAGTAGGTAAATTTCCATTGCCGGCCTGGCTTCTGCAAAATAAGATCGCGTGAATGTATGAAATACAGCTGAAGATCTTATTGATAAAACTTAATGAAGTGACGAGTATTGATTGAGCAAAGCCATAAATCCACTAAGTACTTTGAATTTATTAATTTGATTTCTGTAAATAAGGAATATCTAAGTCCAAAGAAACCCCTGGTTTGAAATTTTTGCGGCCATGAAACCGGCGTGAACAAAATGAAAGGAATAGAGCAACGGATTGTCTTTGAGAAGCAGATGAGTGGAAAGAATGTGCCTCACTTATTAAAATTGTTGAGCTACGTTGCGTTCGGTTGATGTTGAAAAAACCGAGGACAGCACAGCTTTTTAAAACTTCTCATTTGTGATCCGTTTTAATCTTTTTAATCCGTAGCCATCCATGTTGAATTTTAGTCTCTTCATCTCTCGATTTTTCTTTTTCTTCCTGTCGAGCTGATACGCCTCAGTCTCCTTGAAAAACTAGACAAATATTAACCGCGGCCAACCTTCGAAATAACAACAGTTCACATCACTAGGAGCTAATCAATAACGATAGCAAATACACGTAACCATCTCGAGCGCGGGAAAACGCGGGTGACCAAGGCGTGGGTTTTGCTTCTGATTGGTGAGAACGGATTTTCTGGACCAATCGCAGAGCAGGGAAATAAAAAAAGGAACTCAAGCAAACCCGGATTACTTCGAAACTCAACTGAAAAGTGCTCTTTGAAAGAGGCGGCTTCATTCTTACCAAATTGAAAGTGTTTTCAACATTTTTCGTTTAGTTCTTCAAGCGTCCCTTATTAGCAGTTACATACCAGGTACAACAAGGTGTTCAAAGCTTTAAAGGTATTTTGACTTTTTTTCTGCAGCTATTTTAGCCTCTCATGAGTTTAGCTGGACACACCTCTGTGCTTCGCAGCGGACATCGTTTCTGTTCTCTTGAGGTTTTATGTAGATAAGGATGAAACCCATAATGCCTGTTTTTAATTCCTCAAGAGTTATATTCAACGATGTAAAGTTTGAATCTGTGAGAGGCAGTTTCGTGAATTTTGTTCTCGATTCAGTGAATAAATTACTCATTCCCGAGATATAATGATTATTTGATTGTCACGCCTTTTACAGACAGAAGAAACTGCTCTCCCTTAATATCAGTTCCTTGTCATGATTCCTTCATCCCTTATTTGATATTTATGACTGGATACCTTCTCTTTTCTTTTTTTTTTCAGTTAATACTTGAATCCTGAACAGAAATTGATATTTCCTGTGAATAAATAATCAACTGAATGTTAATTTTCGAGAATCAGCTTTGTGAGTTAATTTTCTTACTTATTTAGATACCTAAACTATCTGCCGTTTTTTTTTCAATTAATGGATAAGTTGATGTAATGTAGTGTAAAGATAATTTCCTTGGTGACTGTTTAGACCTCCCTGCCCACAGTCGTAAGAATCGTGGAATGATTGCTTAACTGGGCTTCTCTTAACCTGTTGAAGCGTGGGTTTAAACCAACCCTATTTGATTTTGAAAGTTTGAACGCGCTCATCAATACTAAATTAGCTATTTTCTGAAGATAAAGGTTTGAATTTCGGGCGAGCTATATATGGTACCAAAAGCTTTTACAAAAGTACCTTGGAAAAATTTCTTTAATTTATCAGATTATAACTTCAACCTTCAAAAAGTTTCTGTTTGAGGTGATAATAAAATAATTGAAAGTTCTGGAATAAAATTCATGTGGGATTGATAATGTGATATTGCTTTATAAGGATTCCAAAATGTCAATGAATCGATATCAGCTTGAAGAGCGAGCGAAATATGCAGCAGATTTTCACATCAATTTTGAGACGAAAAATCTTCCTGTCGCCCACTTTTGGAGTATATTTTTTTCTCTAATCCCACGCTGAGGATGTTCAAAACTAGAGAATGAATTTACATATTCAGTGATAAGATTAACAGTAATACCAGTGGAATAGTTATGTTGTTTTGTTGGCAAGCTTTTCGGCAATTCGGACAATCGTGGAATTGAATTCGAAACATTTTCAGCTACAGTTGATGAGAGAAGGAGATATTATTTCGAAAGTAAGGCGTAAACCCGTTATTGTTTAAACCTTGTGATCATTATCTTCTACTTTTGAGGTAATTATAATGGACTCTAACCAAGAATTTCTTGCTAGATAAGTATTAATTTAAGTACAAAATTACAGCAACTCTTCGATGTCGTGGTAACATTTTATTGAAACGGTGAAAAGTTATCGCCTTTAATTCTGGATCGAAAAAAAACGAATATTTGGGAGAGCATCACGTAGGGAAATTTAAATTCTTGTGCTCATTAGTGTGAAAAATGATGCGAAACAATGAAAACCACGAAAAAATTTCCCACTAGGTTGACACCACAAACTGTCCCTGAAGCTCTCGTGAAATCGTGGCGAAAATATAAGAAGCCTGATCAATTTTGCGTCAGTCGGTTTGAAAATACTTCACAGTGGTCGAAATATTCCGAACCAACTTCCTACCCGCGATAAGAACTTTATTTCGGAATGCGCTTCCTGAAACACCTGGAAACGGTCCGTTAATAATCTAAATTCACAACCTGCTTTATCGAAATAAACTAACATTTGGGGTGAAGATAATGGTGCCTAAATGAGCCAATAGGAGCGTAATATTTAAGAGTTTCTTTATAACGAACCAAATATGAGGGCTTTGATTGCGCGCGTCTGTCTTTGACCAATCTAGCGCCAGTTAGAGCTGAGGTAAATATTCATGGAGTAAAGAGAAGCGCGCTCGTTAGTTCACGGCTGGGTGTTGTGCGTTCGTTTTAAGGCTCTTAATTCTACTCAGGCTTTGGCGTCGACGAATTGATTAGACACAGAATTCATGCTCTTATTTTGGTAGAAAGAAGACATGGAAGACGACGAGAAGAAAGTGGCGCTGAACGGTGCTGCGGAAGGGGATAATCCACCCGAAGAGGACGGTGAATATAAAGTAGAGGTTGAGATCAATATGGAAGAACGAGAAAAGTGGGGCAAGAAAGTGGAGTTTTTCCTCGCGTGTATCGGCTACGCTGTTGGGTTAGGCAACGTGTGGCGGTTTCCGTACTTGTGTTTCGAGAACGGCGGTGGTGCGTTTCTCATCCCTTACGTCTGTATGCTGTTTCTATGTGGAATGCCATTGTTCTTCATGGAACTTGCCCTTGGCCAGTACGTGAGCTTAGGACCTGTAACATCGTGGGCGGCCATATGTCCTTTGGCCAAAGGTAATTGTATCGTTCTTGAGAAGCAATGTTCACCGTCCTTGATCTATTTATCTTTCTACGATAAAAATTTAAATACTACGGTCAGTTCGAAGCGTATTACTTTGTGGAGAGAAACACTGTTGGAATCTTATTGAAATCTTTCTTGTGACAGCATGTTCAGTGATTTTTTTTTCACGGTAGCAAAGTATCGTGTCGTGTGTAGTTCATCCCAAATTCCGTGTCTGAAAGCTTTGTTTCTATATTACTTGATCTCGAAGATGAATGGAAATTTTAAAATGATTTTTAATAAACCACGAAAAGTTTTATTTGATAAGGTTATTTTTAGTTTTGATGGCGTTCTCCCAATATCCACGATTTAAGAATACAAAAGTGGAATATTGTTGTCTTAAGATAGAGAGTCTTTCTTGAAAACGGTTGTCAGTTGATCGAAATGAGCAGGTTCGAAGCGTGCTTCGTCGAAAATTTTGTATGAAGTATATAATTAATTTATGAGGCAGAACACTGTTACAGTTTTGCTCGCACAAAGCATGCAATATTGATAACAATTTACACATTGTTAGTTAGTTCTCACTCTTAGACAAGAACACATTCTACTTTGCTCTCCGCAAGGGTCAATATATAACGCTTTCATTGATGTTGTTTCATGAAAACTTGTTTTTAAATTCCCTTAAGAACCACCGCTCCTGTTTAGATTACTTTTTATATTTTGATCGCTGAGATGATCCTCGGTAAGATCACCCGATAAATTTTCAACAAAACAATGTGTTATCTTTAAAACGATCTATTCTTGTTATCAGCTCTTTTTTTTTTTTCCCGACGTATTTTATATTCCTAGTTGTAAATTTCGTGCCAAGCCATTCTTGATGCTTACTTTCAATAAGAGCGTGTTTCAACGCGGTAGAAATTAAGCCCGATGATTATCTCATTATTAGTAGTTCCATATAGGGACATTTGGTTAGAGATCAAATTTTATTTTTTTTAATATGAAAAATTACTTAAAGCACATAAAATGTCCAACAAATTACTAAAAAATATTCCTAAAATGACGCAAATTTACATGCGAACACCATGACTCAAAATTGTTCAGTCTAGACAAATGCTCTCGCTGCAAGCGTAGTATCTTTGCGGGAAAAACTTTTACTACTCTCTCTGCGGGAAACGGTGAAACTGTCGTTGTTTTCGAATTGAAATGTTCAATATTTTAAGTCTGCCTGTGTTTGGGTGGAGTAAATATTCGCGCCTTCGAAATTTTCTTGTACTGTGTCCTTAAGCTGTTAGAGAATTCCTCAGGGAAAGCTTCTTTTTGAAAATGCAAATTTTGGAAATGGTGTTGATTAAAAAGAGACTTCTTTCTTCAATCGGCTCTGTGTAAAACTCTTTCGCAAAGTAAACTTTTTTTCGAAAACAATATCATGTGGACGCTATTTATTGTATATTGTGTAGTTTTGACTCGTCCCATTATACGTCTCGTTGGGAATCGCGGTTTGTCGGTGACTGGAGAAAATTGAAGCAAATTGTACCTTGCTAAGAAAGCTGCCACAAGCCTTGAACTTGTACGATTCAAAATTAGCAGTCCATTGATGAAATTTCGTTTTTTTCAAATTTAAAAGCTACAGTGTTTCAAATTTCTTCAAACACTATTTGGAGGAAATTCGGCCATTTTTCTTGGTAATCTATGAGAAATTCCACCTTTGTGTCTTTGGTTACACTTCGCCGCTTATTTTACCGATCTGCAATTTTTCCCATTTGCAAATAAATTTGTGGGATCAATAGGCATTTTGCTCGATTCATTTTAGAATATCACCACACTCTCCTTATCAGAATCTTTTAGTGCACTCGAAAAATACTCAATTATTGTTAGAAGTGATCTTCGTGAAGTCCTGCCTCCGTCTTGTCATCTGCATTGTTATAGGTCGCAACATTCCCTACACCGTAGTTCTTAAGTGCACTCGGAATTTTTCAGTCATTATTTGAAGTGATCGTCGCAAAGGCCCGCCTTTTTGAAGTCATCTGATATGTGATCTAAACTTTGAGTGCCCTCGAAAGCTATTCACTGGCATCAGTAGCGGCGAACGATAGAACAGACATAAATCAAACTGTTTGTTTTGAGGTGACCCTGCTTTTAAGAACAAGTTGCGAGGAAATTTACGGAAAAAGCTCTCCCTGGCAGAGTCTTCACTATGCCCGAAAGCTTTATATGCGTTACCATGGACACATTGAACGTGTCAAAAGAAATATTCTGCTGTTTTCTCGGAAGGTACAGAATCTTCCACTATGAAATTAAGGAAGGTACAGAATCTTCCACAATGAAATGAAGACGCAGTCTCTGTAAGAGCGGTCCAGTACGTTTCGGGTAAAATCGCTTTAGCGATCATCAAAAGTAGCACAAATTTCCGAGCTCGTCTTTTCAAAAAATTCTAAATTGAGAGTTTTGTTTTGATTTGCATATTTAGATCAACCCTTTATTTAACAAATTGAGAGGCCTTGTCTGTGCTCTGTTCTGTTGTAAAGCAAGCAGGAAGCGACTATAGCACGAAAGAAGTGTAGGGAAAAACACGAGACGTAGTCGAGTGTTACTTCCCACTTCTTGAGTGCTCTGGCCGCTTCCTAAGTGCTTTATAACATAACAGAGCACAGTCAAGGCTTCTCTATTTGTTTTATAATAAATAATCCGTTAAATTCCCCACGCATTACTTTCAAATTTCCAAAACAAACTTTATTTCCAAAGCGAACAACAGTGTCGTCAGCGTGCTTTATTCTCTCATAAAGCACGCTACAATAAGCCAATCAGAATCCCTGTTAGAAGGGTTCAAATAAACTGATTGGCTGTACAAAACTTAAGCTGTCAAAAATGTCAAACCAAGTTCACATTGTGCAATAGTTTACAAACTGAATAGTTCGGCAGGTCGAATTTAACTCTTTGGCCTGAAGCCTTTAAGTCTCTAATACAGAATCTGAAAGTGAAATGTTGAATGAAATCCGGCCGAATCATAGCTCATAAAAACACGCAAGTTTTTTTCACATGGCAAGTAGAAAACAAACTGTTCGGGCGTGTGTTTTATGAATGAACGACTGCCGAATTTACCGGAACATGGAGATTGCTCGAGATAACAGCACCGTAAAACTCGGCTACAGTGACTGATGTGGCCTTCCGCTCAACGCTTAGGGAAAGGATATCAGTGCAAGCTCTTGGTTGTTCTCTCGAAGGGCAGCCGATGTAATTTCTGAGGCTTACTTTTCTGCTATGACCGGAGATTGCCATGATGAGTTAGCCGCGTTGGACCTCAGCATGACAACGTCGTTACTAGTACGAGTTTTAACGGTTATGCCTGTTTGGCTATGTTTTTCATCATTCCTGTTTTGTTTTTGAACACGAAACAATATATACTACACGAGTGTTAGCTGTGTTTGATTTTTATTACCGTACGTAAGCTTACAATCCAACTGAGCGTGAAAACCTTCAAAACTCGGACTGTTCATTTCTTTTACTCTTTGAGGATTTTTGTCTCTGCTCACGCTATAACGTCAATTGCGGCGCCTGGCATGTTTACAAATCTTTGTTTGGTTCTTTTGTTGCTATTTGCCGACTTGCCTGTTCCGAAATTTCACTCCTAATTAGGGAAAAAAAACCTAGGGAAAAGTCCCGAAGAAGTCGGACATAACACAATTTGGCAGATGGCGTGACAGGTTTAGCTCAGGTCTATACTTTAAACTCTCATAGAGCACGCTCTTTCAACCAATGACAGCGCGCGTTATATTCACTAATTTTTTTTTGTTTGTTTTACACCTACTTTGACGCTACCGCCATGACATGAAATATGCAACTTTTTATCTCGGCTCAGCGCAAAATTCTAACCTCTTCCCACGATATTTAGAAATATAAAAACTTGTTGTGGTTTCGGTGAAATTCTAGAATAGCACGCCATTAAATCACGCGCTATAGAAGTCCTATTGGGCGTTTGAGCGCTGAAGGTGGTTTCGATTACTTTTCGACCGCTTTTAAGAGACTGCGTCGTAAAGCCTTATTTTAATGTAGAGATTCTGAAAGACTGTTTAGTCGAGCCGGCGATAAGAAGGGCTGTGAGTTGATAGTTGTTCGTTGATGGTGCTGTGTCGCTATTCGTGAATCTGCGCAATTTACGTGAATCTTTGATTTTCCATGTTCTTCAGTTGCACTCCTCTTTTCGATTCTTGACTATCTTTTTTTTCTTCGTAGTATAGAGCATTTTTCAATTGAGTGCTGAAAACATCCCGGGATTGTATTCTCTACTCCGCTCAATGATTGGTAGAGAAAACACGCCGGCGCCACTCGCACAACCAATCAGATGCAAAACTAAAACTAATACGACTGGGTCACCCACGCTTTTCCCGCTCTTTAAGCTGTTTTCTTGTTTTTTTTTCTCTTAAGTTCTCATCGGCGCTTCCTTCTGATTGGCCAGTGTGATTACTTTGGCTTTGGTTTTACGACTCTCAATCTAAAAGCTCTCTTTCATCGTATTTTCTATTTTTCTTTCTCACTGAGGTAATATTTGTAGCCTATAGTATATAATATTTGATTGATTGATTGATTGATTGAATGGTTGACTAGGTGTGGGTTTTTCCATGTTGGTCGTGTCCTTCCTCTGCTGTGTGTACTACAATGTCATTATCGCCTGGTGTTTGTACTACATGTTTAAGTCGTTTGCCAGCATGGTTCCGTGGGCAAATTGTAACAACTGGTGGAACACACCCAACTGCGCACGCTCAAAGAAAACGAGTAGAGTCACTGAAAATGGAGGTGTGCCCAGTAACACAACAGGCAACAACACGGAGTTCCTCTACACCACCTCTTGTATTAACCAAACCTTTCCAGAAGTTGGAAACTTGACTGGCGGGAACATGACTGTAACGAATGCATCCATGCCAATGTTGAAATGCCTTAACACGACCCTCAACGCCACTGCAAATGCTACTGCTACCGTCACAAAAGTTTCTGCCGTGGATAGCAATTCTCCCAGCAAAGAATTCTGGGAAAATTATGTCCTTCGAATTACAGACGACATGGGAGACCTCGGCTCAATGCGTGTCGAGCTGTTAGTAGCACTCATCGTGGCCTGGATTCTGGTGTATTTTTGTCTGTGGAAGGGAATAAAGTCCTCGGGGAAGGTGGTATATTTCACCGCTACTTTCCCTTATGTGGTTCTTGTAATTTTGCTTATCCGGGGGGTTACTTTGCCTGGTGCATCTAAGGGCATCGAATTCTATTTGAAGCCCGATTTCAAGAAGCTGGCCGATGCCTCTGTCTGGGCTACAGCTGCCACTCAGATATTTTATTCACTTGGTATCGGATTTGGTTCGCTCATTACCATGGGGAGTTTCAACCAGTTTCATAACAACTGTTTCAGGTGAGAGTTGCACACTTGAATGAGACTTTTTTACTTGCTCGCTTGCTTGCTTGTTCGACTTTCCTCCGTCATTATCATAGTTGTTTGTCTGTTTGATTGATATTCTGTTTGTTTTTCGTTTGGGGACATTATGCGGATCTAAAAGACCCTTTTCGAGCTGTGGCTGAGCCGCCGGCGCACTCTACTCTCGCAGCCCCTTTCTTTATTTAGGGAAGAAGGGAAGCCTTAGCAGTACTTGTGCTAAACTGCAATGGAGAAGGCTTCCCATTTTATGTTCGACGATGTGTTTAGCTCATGTCCTAGACGTAACCATCAAACTTTGTTTGTTTCAGAGATGCCATGATTGTATCCGTTATAAACTGCAGCACCAGTGTCTTTGCTGGCTTCGTGATCTTCAGCGTGCTTGGCTTCATGGCACACGTGTCCGGCAAGGCAGTCAAAGACGTGGCTACATCCGGTCCTGGCTTGGCCTTCGTTGTTTATCCTGAGGGGATTGCCCAGATGCCTATTTCTCCATTCTGGGCTGTGTTGTTCTTCTTCATGTTGTTAACGTTAGGGCTTGATACCCAGTTCGCCATGTTTGAAGCTGTTGTGACTGGCCTTGTGGATGAGTACCCGCGCTTTTTGAAAAAACGCAAAGAGCTGTTTATCGCTTTCCTGTGTTTCCTCTGCTTCCTGCTGGGTATCCCTATGGTCATGCAGGTACTGTGGTTTTTAAAACACAGGGGTCAAAGTCCGCCATATTGCTTTTATAAAGATACGCATGCACAGTGTTTGACCGCTGTGTCGGTTTTTAATAGCTTCATCCATGTAGGAAATCGCTTTTAAATAGAAGGAAATTTGAAATTGTTTCAGGACAGGCGAACATTTAAGCTTTTTGGTTGCGTTTTGTTTTACTAGGAAGAAAACAAATGATTACTGTCGGAATTTGTTCAATTTAGTGGCATGACTTGATTAGTGTATGGAGACCATTTTATCTTGATCATGATAGTAAATAGACATGTGATACTTTGCATTTTAGGGCGGCATGTATATTCTTAACCTGTACAACTATCAGTCTGGTGGAGTGTCTTTGCTGTTCTTGGCTTTGTTTGAAGTTCTCACCGTTTCCTGGGGCTATGGAGCAGACCGTTTTGCCAAAGACATCGAGAACATGATTGGTTACAAAATATGGCGATGGTGGCCTATTGCCTGGAAATTTCTCACCCCGCTTGTTATTTTAGGTTGGTGGTGATACAAAAGAACTATGCGCGTGCCTCTCTTCTAAAACTTACAAGTAGAGGGATAACGTAATGGAGAAATATACCAAATTGTCAAACCAGCCTTAACTAATCGTTACTCAGTCCTGGAACATTCACTGCTGTTTAGAAAAGTTTAGAAAAGTTGTTTAGAAAAGATGGTTAATCGTCTTGTCGCGGGCGTGGGACAAAGAAAAAATCTGTGTCTTGAATTTAATTTAAGACCTTCGGAGTCCGCGCTACAATGCTCTACCACTGAGCTACTACTGAGAGATTAATTTTGTGCTAAGCCCTTACCCCGTTAATATACGATACACATCCTGCATACTGCGAGGATCAGCGATGTACAAAGGGTCTTGCAAAAATTTGAAATTTTGAAATTATGAAATTTTAATCTCGGTAATGGAGTAAGGAAGGATGTTTTTTTCGTACTGTCGCGAACGTGGGATAAGGAAAAACCATGGCCGTGGTGCCCGTCGCCTGAAAATTCTTCTCTCCCCTTGTTATTTACGGTAGTTAGTGATTAAATAAAACCACTCGCCTCTCGTATTGACCGGTAAGGTTGCCCTACATAAGGCTTTTACCAGTTAGCATCTCACGACATTATCTCAAGTTCTCGCGTCGGCTTTTTGTCCTCTGATCTTTTTGGATGGTGTGATGACTTTGGTTTTGGTTTTATGGCGCTCAATAAAAAAGTACTAAATTTCAAAAGTTATTTAAAGCCAGCTGTTCTCACTGTTTTTTGTCCTATTTATCCTCTTATCCTCTAGGGGTTTTCCTATTCAGTGTCATTCAGTGGAGCGGCGTAAAGTATGGTGATTATCAGTATCCTCCATGGGCAGAATTCTGTGGCTGGGTTCTAGCGCTGGCCTCCATGTTGTGGATCCCAGGGGTTGCCACTTACAAGCTTATCAAAACCCCTGGGAGTTCTCTGTATCAGAGGATATGCTTCCTTCTGCGGCCAGACGAAGAGGAGATGAAAGCGATAGAGTTACGCGAAGGCTTAGCAACACAGGGCGAGATGGAAACTCTCTAGAGAATCCTGATTTCATTGGGTGTGTCTCTAAAAGAGTTGTTTTAAGTTGTTTTAATTTTAGAAAAAGCACGTGTGGTATTGTTTGTATGGTTTGCACTAACAATAGGATAAGAGGGTTTTTTTTAAAATTTTGATTATTTTAAGAAGAATTTTAAGTTAAGCTCGCTTACTTGACTCTGATATTTAAAATGGTTAAAATAATGGCAGTTTTTGAAGTTACAGAAAAAGAAAGAATGAGTTATAGGTTGGAGTAGGCCGATCTTGTTGGGGAAAAGGATGAGAAAAATGAACTAATTTTAAGTAGCAAATATTCATGTAAATTTGCCGCTTGTATGTAAGACAGACTTTACACATTAGCAACATATCTTCTGCGTATACCATTTGCTTCTGTATCGCTGTTCAAATTCCACTTTTAGATGTTCATTTTACAAAGGGTTGTCAACTCCAAGTATAGAAGAGGTCTCTTCGGTAATCTCGATAAATACCGGATCGAGAATGTTTACTATTCGTGAGACTTGAGAGTTGAACGCTAAACGTTAAGAACATCATACTGAAAATATTTAGCCGAACTTTTAATGTGTCAAATGAAGACAAAAAGCCATATTTTGTCTCTTTAAAAACTAACTGACATCTCAGGTTTCGCCTATAATAATTCCCGTAGGACAAGTTATTTAGTAAATAAACCCCTTCAGGCGGCTGGTATGTCAGCTGAAAATGTCAGCGTCTGCGGTTTTTGTGAACTTACTATGCTTTAACAAATTCCAAACGAAAACTAAAGGAATCATACTTTCGTAATCGAAATATGTTTGTTTGTTCGCAATTAGCTGGAAACTTAGGTCAAATTATTTGCCATCTACTTCATGTTTCAAAATAAAAAATGGCTTGCTATGTAATATACTGTTACAAGAACGTTTAATTACAGCAAAAAATTCTGCATTAGTTGATATTACAACCGTTTCTTGATGCCTCTTGCGAGTTCACTTAATCATTATACTGGTAAGAAAGCTGCATCGATTCAATGCATGCAATCTTTGGCTTTTGATCGGTCAAATTTACACATGGGATAATTATAAAAGACATTCTCTCACTAGGTCTGAGGATAGTGTCATGAGGAAAGATTTCCTTAGCATTTTACGTTTTTCAGTAGCAACTATAATTGCAAATATTGCTAAAAATATTTATCGCTGTTATAACATAGTTAAAATTCCAATTATATTCTGCAGGTGGTATACAACTGCTGATGTTAGAAATAGTTTGATTAAGGCGTTCATAAAGTTTTACTGTTGTTTTGTGAAGGTTAATGCTTGCAATGTGGTCAAATATCAAAGTGACACCAGCAGTTACCGGGAAAATGATAAATTGAATTACCACTGTAAAAAGAACAACCAAGAAAGGTTAAGCCTCCTTGTGCTGTAGAAATCAGCTTTAACTGAAGCCTGATTTTATTATCTTTGTTGTCTTTGGAATGATGTGCAGTAGTTTTAACGATTGCCCTTAACATAAAGACGTCAATGAAGAAGAAAGGCTTGGCAAGCTGAGAGCTGTCAACCATTTATCCTAAAAATTCCACAAGGTTTGGACTCTTTTTGTTAACCATTTTTCGGGTTTTTGTAGAATCTCATCACTACATGTACATTGGTCAAATGTCAAAATGGTCGATTGTCTTAGACGGACGCCCGGGAACTGCTGGTGTTATTTCAATAAGATCACTTCGTGAAAGACGTAGGATCTTCTTTGTAGATTCAGTTTAAATAATGGTGCCATTTTAAATTAGCTAAGGCAAGTAGAAGTTAATGTTTTCTAATTTGTTGCTTACATAGTAATTCATATTACCAATGAAAGTTAATGAACATTTCAGAATAAACCAAGGAAACAGTTGGTTTGTGAAACTGATTGAAGTTTTCGTTGGGCAGTGGAGTTCCCAGATCGCAGAGGTTTCCTTCAAAATTTCTAATGATAATCAGCAACAACAAATAACCCAAGTCTACAGGAAATTCTTATGAACACCAAACAAGCACAGTAGTATACGGTGTTACTATGATACACTTAACATTCTGCAATCTTTGAGCGTGACAGCATGACAATCGCCATCTTGGATGCTAATCTGGCTTACTGATTGGTTCAATTGTAGTACGTGGTGCAAAATACGCTTCTCTAATTGTCCCTGCACCATAGTACCCCCGTGTACTACGAAACACCTGTCAGCCGGGAAAAGGTTTCAGCAACCAGGTGCATTGTCGTGAAAAGGGAAGGTGTTTGGTTGAGGGTGCCCTGTAGCGCTCGTTTCGTGAACAATCTTGTGAAATATAAGTACTTTCAGAATACCAGTTCCCTGATCTTTCAATTTCTACTGGCTTGCAATTTTCAGCACTTGTTACTTAGACAATGCATGCTTGGTAACTTTTTCATTCCGTTCATCATTTTGATTGAGGGGTCTATACTTAAGTCACGGCCGTTGTTCGTGGTGATCTCGTTTAATTTACAATGGACTGAGTCACTGTCGCGAGCCACTGAGTATGTTGTACATTTCGAGCTGTTGACGAGGAATGCGACTTGCAACATTACTTCTGTCGTAAATCTACTATTACTGCCAAATCAAGCGTGGAATTATTTTGATTTAATTAAATGGAAATGACTTCAACAGCAACGATCTCGTAATAATGAAATCCCTCCCGATCTTCGATACTGGACATCTCACTTTTAGAACGGCTAACTTCACATTTCTTCAGACTGCTGCTAAAATTAAGCGACTGGCACTGATCGGTTACCAAGCATAACTTCATGCATTGCATGACATCAGAGACGCTTCGTGATGTAATCACTTGACCAGCTAGCACTTTATCCGGACCGAATCTTGGCATGAACAACGCCTCCAAGACTAGATGAAACACATGAAAAACATGCATCGAACTGTTAACCACTTTGTATATTGTAAAGATTACGGAATAGATTAGTCCTGCCATCGAGTGATGTTGGAAATTTGTGTAGGTAATAACATGGAGCCCAGGAAAATTGAGGATTCTATTAATTTCGCGCGTGTTCTTAGAGGTTGCGGAAATTGCAGGAGTCGCGCAGCGACGAGAGCAATTTATGTATGCTGAAAATAAATGTTATATCAATCCTTAATTTTACGAAGCAACATGCGATTACCTTTTAATAATATGAATGACAAAATTTCTTTTATAAAAAAGATCAACAACGCACGCTGTTACGCACGATCGTAGGAGGGCATTCTAATGTTCAGTTAGCGTCAGAAAACTGTAAAACGCACGAATCAGCTGAATGAAGTTATATTTTTGCACAACAGCTCCAAAGCATTATAAGCAACCCTGATTAAAAGCATCTGCCATCCGTGAAATTATAAATTTTTGTGCAAAGTTAAGCCTTACTCAGTAAAGTGTGGTTAAAATGCCACTTTTCTCAGCCGATCAGCATTTAGTAATTTTCCCCTCTATGTTATAAAGCAAAATGCACTCTGCATAGAATCTAATGATTGACCTTACAATTGAAATAATTCTAAGCCTTGACAATGTCGATATGGTGATTCCAAATGACGCCTAATGTGACCAGTAAAAAATTGTTCGACGAGCTGCAGACGAGTTTGTCGCTGACGAAAAGTTTTACCTCCTGTTATCTATCAGACCAAACACAATGTGAAATGTAATCCTGCTGTGTCAAGCAAAGGACAGGAAAGAAAATTTGTGGAGAAGAGCAAATTTACCTCGTAGCACTCTATTCCTCGTATATACCCCCACTAGTATCACTTGCTTACGTTTTGAAAACGTCGTGCCAAATTTTTTTAAAACTACTTGCCGTTTTGCAAAGACAAGTATTGCATGACGTCAGCCACGTGTTTGTGCTATAATAGATCATAGCTGACGACCAATCACAATCATCCTAACACTTAATCATATGGCTCTTTAGGCAATTTCACCTTCTGGCCAAGGCTCTCCATAAAACTCCATTCTTGCACAAGTCCAGTTATGCCATTTCAACGGTATAAGGCGAACATACCGTGCTTGAATCACTGGGATGATGTTCTTTTTCACTTCATGCGTGTTGCTATTTCCTTCTAAAACCTGTGAAATTCGTGCAAAGGAATAAGGTGTTTCAGGAAAGGAAATTGTGCCAACTCGAGTATCCAGAACTGAATTTCTAAGGGTGTGACTAGACCTGAAAAGATGATTTCATCATTATCCAAAACTTCCGTGTCATTCCAGTCAATTCTATAATTTGTATTTACTACTTATATGAGGTTTTTTAACCGATAAAAAAATTCGCCTATGAAACGTTTGTGCACAGGATGGATGGAGAGGGAGTGTGTAAGGTACATGTAGTCAACTGACCAAGGAAATGAGACCTTTTCAACAGATTTTCGCCCCACTTCTTGCTTCCGTTAAAAATGTTTATTTATCAGTTTGTCTACTTCTACCTCTGGAGATTCCTCCCATTTAACACCATCGTGAGACCATCTCAGTTTGTATTCTTCCAAATAACTATGACTTCCAGGGTGATCTCCTTGGGTGGCAACTGCGCAAATACGGTAAGATCGGCCGAAATCAATCTGCAAACGTTAAAGATACATATAGTGCTGGTGAATTAAAAAGCACATCCGAATCGAATAGTCCATCGCTCTCAGACAGGAGTGTAATTTGCACACCTTTGACTAAGATTAGTTATCAAGATATCTTTACTTTGTCAGCGATTAATTAATCAATTAATTGATTAGTTGTATTATACATGCATTTTGATTGGTTCGCAGTTATGATCTATTGAAGGAGTGACGCGTAAATGACGTCACCATGGGCAATTTGGGCTTCTTTAGTACAGAGAAGCAATACACTCCATGTTGTCATGCATCTATTCGGTGATTGGTAAGAGATCAAAATGTGGTAAGAACATTAATGACACACTTGGCTGCGTCTTATAGGCCACTTTTTTGTTCTCACCACATTTTGACGTCGTCTGTGATCTATTAGCATTGTAGAGACGCACTGCAGTCACGGTGAACCTGTCATATTTGGTAAACTGAGAGACGCCGACAAAATGGAATTCGCTCGTTAGTTACCTGAACATAAACATTCTCGCTCTCACTGCCTGGCCATGTTCTGCACCAGGTCTTTGCTCCGTTCAAGCGAGCGTTTGACGGATCTCCAGATGAGGCAGACAGTTGAGAATCCAGAATTTCAACCGTCTCTATACCAACAGCTGGTGCGGTGCACTCATTTTTCTCTAAATTTAAAAGAGGAGCCTGAGGATCTGAGTCCCCAAACATGAACAGGGCTGGCTATATAACAGGATATACATATTGATATGTATATCTCCGTCAAAAGTGGGTGAGAGGAAAAGCTTAGGCCCGCTTACAAGACTAACTCATGATCTCTTTGCTTGTAGAACTTTTTGCGGCTTTGTCAGCATAAAGGAATAACGAATAATGATGCTCCCCCGGATGAGTTGTTCGTCAATAACTAGTTAGCCCGAACATTTCCTTTACGTTCATAGTTACCTATGAATAGACTCCAAAGGGAGGGGGGGAGGGGGTTAAAGAGAGCCACTCCGAGATTTAATTGCTTTTCCCAAGAAAATATCGCATCTATCTTGGGATGGGACCAAGCTTACACCTTTGGAGGTCCAAAGTGCACACCATTGGGCCGCCATGTCTGTCGAGAATAACAAAGCAGGTGACGATATATCCTTAACTATTCGTCCTCTGCGAAAGGCGTTGCACGCAAAATAAAAACAGAAAACGAAAGCAGTCACGCAATATCAGACGAGCAGAAGCAGTCAGGTAACGTAAGTGACATAGCGCAGTGTTGGTTACGTTGTTCAGGTGGTACCTTCGATACAGGTGTAAAGTTCCACTCTCATTGACACACGGTCACGCCAGACGGAGGGTCGGAAACGGATGTACCGCGCTTTAATTGGTGGAACTAGGTCATGATAAACAACTGTATTACGGTCCACATTTCCAGAAAATTCCTAAAACAATAGAATAATTGTTAAATGAAAGTGCAGTATAATTAAACTGAACTGAAGCAAGAAATCTGTAATAAAAGTTGAAATCTCCTCTCCTAGGTCATGTTAAACTTTACTACTTCTTCAACTTAAGTTCCAAAGATTTGAGATTTTACAAGACGAATGTAGAGCGTTAACGAGAATTAGGAGAGAAATGTACACTGAGAAAACTAGTTTTAACTGTGTTTCATCGACTGAATAAATTACGAATGTGTTGGCAGCGAGGCAAAGTCGTAATAAGGACTTTCTGAAAAGGTAGCCGGAATTGTTGCTGTTTTTTTTCTTAACCGTCAAAAATAAAATTGAGAGGTGGGGAAGCCTTTGAAGTACAGAGATTGGAGGTAAGATAGCTGAAAACCAAGGGCTTGTTCATAGGATAAAAAAACTGTGGCGCTGCGTCGGTGGGGGTTATAAAAAGATAATTTGGTTTATCCACAGGAGTGATAATTTAAATTGGCCTCCGTAAAATTTTCGTAAGCTGATGTATCGAGCGTTGGTCCCTCGTCAGAACGTAGCATAGGAACCTGGTTAATCAGGCTCGCTCGTTTGGTTTCTAACATATCTCACCTCGATAATCTTTCCTTTGTATAAATTGAGACGTTCTGACGCCTTTATGGAGATCTTGTTTTAAGCAACCGACATATTGGTAACCAAGCTGAAAATTTTTGTATCATTATAATCACGTCACTCCGTTTACAAGGGATGAAACTTAAAAGATAGTGTCCTTCCTATATCGGTAATGACGCTGAAATTTTTCCTTATCAGAAAAGAAATCGGGCGCAAAACTTAACCTACTAACCCGTTTTAAATTTTACTGTAAGGACAGGTGACAAAGATTGTCTCACTAAACGCACTACTCGGTTATTGGGCTCAAGCGAAGAGGCCCGATGAAGGACAATTTACATTCATAGACAACATTCGACAGTTTTGCCACACCTTGGGCGATTGCCCGTTTTCCGTGTAGTACTTAAAATCATCTCCATCATAACTGTACTGTACGTTGTACTGAATCACCCACTGATTCCAATCATTCCTTCCTTGTGTAGCCAGGCCTGTCACGCTTATGTCCTGACTGCGTAGGTCCACTTGGAGCCACTGATAACGATCGACCGTACGGCACACCCAGGCTCCCGGGGATGACAGAAGATTTAATCTACCTCGGGTGACGCCGTGAGCAAAAAATTGCGATGAGGCTGATAATTGATCGTTATGGATGTTGCCGTTTTCCATACCAAGAGGGACTTTGCACTCTAAAAGTTTATTAAATTAAATGTGAGTGTTTACCAGAGAACTGAATTGCACTTTTGCTTTTGCGAAACATGTAAGTGAACATAGTAGTGCTATTTTCAAGGCAACAAGAAAGACTTGATCACGTCCAGCAGACTGTAATCCACTATATCCTTTAAATCCCGTGAGTGACTAAGACATAATTTTTCCTAGAACTATCAATGCAATATCAAGCGGACTGGTAATGAGAATAATGAAAAAAAATTAAATAAGGAGATTATTATTTGCTACAATACCAAATTCTCCGATCTAACGGAGAAGTTTGAAGGGGATCGTATGATTTCCAAGGGGAATAGGGGGGATCAGTTTTCGCTGATAATAGGTGATGACCGTTCCACAATGCGCCGTAACAGGTCTAATGCACGATGCTGTCATTAATGAAAATTGATACCCAAGCTTCGTTTGCATTCAAATTTGTAGGAATCTTTGCCTCTTTCTGGCAGTCTTGATGTGGGTATTCTGTTTATTTCAGTGCTTTGGGAGTACACCCCTATTAAATTTTACCAATGTATACCTTCAAAGCATGGGTTGAACGCGAAATTAGGTATTCTAGCTTAAACAGGTGTAAGAGACATTAACTGTTTAAGCGAAAATGTTACTTTTTACTAAAGATAGCAAAATAGTTCCATTTTACGACCAGGTTTAAATCATAGTGACTCGCTGTTACGCAACCGTGCTTCTTATCAAATTCTTCAGGATTTGTTTCGTGAAATCTTAGTCTTGACGAGAGAAAGTAATGGTCGTGATAAATGGAACTGTTACTATCCACATCTAAGTTGATTGTATTCAACATTTACCTCGGTCACCGTTCGACCTCGTAGCCTGGAAAGAAAAACTGAAGTTGTGTGATTTATATAGAAGGACAGGATATGGCTTAAGAAAATTCGTGCAAAGTAAAGAGGATTTTCCAGGATAATGAATTATCCATAAGATCTTAGCATGTCTATTTGTAAAGTTCTTCCTCACCTCCAGTTCAGTTTCGAGATCACTCACTTCGAATAATTTTCATCAGGAAAAGCATGGTTCATTTATTCGTTTTTTACGAAAACAACTTTGTAAGCGTGAGGTTCATTATCAACGAAGCGATACCTTTAGTACTGTATAATGAATCGGCGAGAAGCATTACCTCAGGAATAACTTATTTTTGAAGGATTTACCCTCCCTCGACAAAATAAAAAAAATCCTGACCATCAAAACTAATTATGTAGCTTTAATTTTCTAAACACCTTTTGGCTTTTGAATTTATATTGAAAGAATGCGTCTTGAAAAATTTTTGACTCTCCCCAACACTTTTATTTTGTCTATCTACGCAGTTGTTGATGTTTGTGGACAGAATCAAGAAAGCTTTTGCAAACACTGCGAAAACATTATTTACAGAAAACAACCGATTTAAACCACAGTATAAGCTGAAGTTCTTTTAAATAACCGGCCACTAATCCAGAGGGAATTTAAATGTTTCACCTTTTACTTTTGACGGTGATAATAAGACATCAACTCATAAACAGACTAAATTAAATGGGCCTTAAAATCAACAACAATGGCGACTTGAAGTTATGTAAGTAAATATATAGATATCTAAAAGATCTAATATCTAAAAATTTCTAAAAGATATTTTGATGACATTCACTTAAGGATCCTTATTATTTGCAAAAATTCGTCAAATGTGCCCAAAATCGTTTGATAGATTTCAAGGGATAAAACTTTTTCCAAATTAAATGTCTCCTGAAACACCACCGCTTAAAACCGTTGTTAGCTTTTGGTTGTTCTAAGTTGTTAAAACCGACTCAAGGTAAAGCGGCCGTTGCGGAATGACTCGAGTCTAGCAGATTTTATTATGATAGAGCTCATAGGGCTTTTTTTTCGACCTTGTTTTCAAGAAGGAAAAGCTTGGCTTGGTCAGCTTGTAAAGCTTTTACTCTGTCAATAGTTTTGCCATGTTGAGTTATAAATGAAAATAAAAGATGAATCAAAATTAGGAAGAACAGGATGATGATGAACTTACCAGGAATACAAGAACGAGCAAAATAAAAGTCACTCTCATCTTCCGAAAGCTAAAACTATACTCGCATGTCATTCCAGAGAAAGCAACCACTGGACAGAGACAATTAAGATGTCTCTTGAACACCAAAGCGTTAAAAACCTAGTGCAAACTCAGCGAACAAGAAACAGTCAATGACCTGGACCCGTGTAGTCTAGCTTCAAAGAAACGGACTCAAGGAGTTTGCTAAACGAACCAATCAAATTTTTGTGAAGTCTAACTCCATGGGTTTTTTTACCTTCACATAGCGTATAAATTGTCATGACCTTAACATCTCCACTAATTGCGGTGATTAGGGCGATACATTTTGGTATCACCTGCTTGTCGCCTAAACAAGTGGTAATTGATTGAACGCTGTTAAGCCGGTGAATAAAGCGAGTGGCCAAGGTGTGAAGTCATTAACTGGTTTACACCTCTGGAATTGTTAACAGCAATCTGGGAAAACTGCGAGGAAGATCTTGCCAAGTGGAGACCAGTTTTACTAATTACTTCACCATTTAACCCTTCTATTAACTACCACGAGTAATCAAGACAGAATTTCTCCTTACAATATCAAGGAAGCAAGTGATGGGATGGAGTTATTAGTTGATCCAATACCAAATCAGATTATACGAAGTAACATAAGAATTGTATGTATGGAGAATTACTAAAGAATGATCACATACCACTATCATGCTCTGTCGTCCCCCACCGCGCATGATAGTTTTCCACGGGAAGACTGGGATAGAGTGAATTCAACATGGCGGACGAAGGCGAAAGTTTACGAATCAGTGACAGTTTATTTTAGGGTTCTCGATGAAATATGTCCGTTTTGTAATCGACTGAAACAAGAATATGTTTTTCTAGAAGCAAAAAAATTGAAGACGAGAGATAATTATTCCAGATGGTGGGTATTTGTTTATCAGAGTACACATGTTCCCAACACTGCCTTGCGTTAGCTTACGAGTAAGTTTGTTGACGTTGTTGTGACTTTAACTGGGAACTTCAAATACTTTCATCATTTTAATTTTTTACTTGTAATGAAAACTACCAAATTCATTAAATGTTACAATACCAACCAAAAAAAAAATGTTTGATTACCGTAAGTAAATTAGTTTTCATTGTCAGTATCAACATACAGGCAATCAGATGCAGACATGGTTTTCTTTTAAGTCAAACAGCACAGATAGTTTTTTTTTACGATATTGGCATTAAAAACCAGTTTTTTTAAATGTTTATTCAAGGACGTCAACAAAATCAGTAAAGGAGAGATGAGCCTTTGTTACAAAGGAAAAGTTATATTAGCACCAATGGTTAGAGTTGGTACTCTACCAATGCGACTCCTTGCTCTGAAATATGGAGCTGATATTGTTTATGCTGAGGTAAGTGTGCCTTGAATACCTTAGAGCTTTTTACTTATGCTTGTGAGAGACAATGGCGTAATGATTGGTAAAAGGTGGTGTAAATGTGCAAGATTTGCAAAATCTGAGCTTGGATCAGGGGAAGGTCAACATGTCGTGTTCATAAAGAGTGGCAGAGGGTTCTTACGTGAGGCATGATCAAACCTAAAACTAATATTAATGATTTGCCTCCTGCAATATACATGACCTGTTAATTTTTTCCTTCATTTTGAGAAAACTTTGAGATTTCCCTGAAACCTCACACACAAGAGGAGACATTTAAGTTTTGCTCTTCAAATGTGTGCATAAATGCTGCATAAAGTATACATGATGCATGAATTGTCTAAAATTTGAGCATGAATTGGAATCAGGAACATCCCTTCCATCCTCTACTCCCTCCCCCTACCCCTCACCCCTTTGCTTCCCTTAACAGCAGGAGAGTTACTTTCACCATTCCTCTCTCTACTTGGAAATAATGTTACTTGTGAGTGGATATCAGTTCCAAAGGAATTGGATGAATGGCTTTGTGGTAACTTATAAAAGACTAAGACATGATCTTTTGGAAAGGGTGACTAATGGAGAAATGTATGACTGTACAAGACTTAGGAGATGCCAAAACTCCTGTCTGAAATTAATCTTAACCATTCCTCAAACTTCCAATGCTCTCAATCATAACTCTAAGCTATGCAAGGGGTAAGTTTCTAGAGAAACTGTTGTGGTGTGTCAGTGGGGGAGTATAACAGGGTAGTTTGGTATTATCAACTGAGTTGATAATATAAATTGGCCACCATAAAGAGTTTCAAAGCTGAGGTTTCAAGCATTAGCCCTCATCAGAGGGAATGGAAGACTTGTGGGTTGTGTATGTGTGTTTATGTGCAGGAAATGGAACTATGCTATTGGTGCGAAGATGGTGAAGAGAAAACAAGAATCAATTAGTTTAACCATTTAACTCCCAGATAAAATTTGTAATTCTCCTTAGAATCAACTATACAATTCTTATAATGTTAGTTCAGAGAATTTAGTATTGGATCAACTTATTATCCCTAAATTGATATTTTTCTTTATTCTCATGACTTATCTGGTTGATCTTGTATTGATATCGTAAGGAGAAATTCTGTCTTGGTCACCTTTGGGAGTTAAAGGTTTAATGAAAAGCCCTTGACGGTTGAATTACCATCATCATTTTCCCACCAATAGGATAGCTCCATTTTCTGCATACAAAATACACACACAACTCACAATTCCTCCATTTGCTCTGATCTGGACTAAAGAAGCTGGTTATTTCTTTCATTCATAACTCTAAGCTGTGAAGGGGGTAAATTTCTAAAGGAACTGTTGTGCTGCGTCAGTAGGAGAGTATAACAAGGTAGTTTGGTATTATCAACCAAGTTGGTAATGTAAATTGGCCACCATAAAGAGTTTCAGAGCTGAGATTTTAAGCATTAGCCCTTGTCAGAGTGAATGGAGGAATTGTGGGTTGTGTGTTTATATGCAGGAAATGAAGCTACACTATTGGTGGGAATATGATGACAAGAAAACAGGAATCAATTAGTTTAATGAAAAGCGCTCGACATATGAATTACTGTCACCATTTTGATGGGTAGATGCACTTAGGATAGCTCCATTTTCTGCCTATGAACACACACACATACAATCCACAATTCCTCCATTTGCTCTGATCCAGACTGAAGAAGCTGGTTATTGTTTCTTTTAATCACTTGGTTTTAAAGATTGATTCAGGGATAACACTGTGAAGAGAAATTAGATGCTAGTCACTCTTAGGGGTTAAAGGAATAACAAAGCTTTTACAATAATAATAATAATAATAATAATAATGGTTTAATATCAGTACATCCATGGTATGACTCTTCGCCTGATATAAGATAAAAAGAAAAAAAGCTAGTGGATGCAATTCTTATATTGTAATATGTTTCTTACTGGACCTTTCTTAAAAGTCTGGGTCAGGGTGCAGTGCAGTTTCCTGATTATTTTTTTTAATTATGTTTTTACAGTGTGAACTCTGCTAATTATTGGAATTTATCCAGAAGATAATTAGATGTAGCTTTCAACGTTTTCTTTTACTTTTTTAGGAAATAATTGATTTTAAAATTCTCAAGACAACCCGAATTGAAAACAGTAAGTGATCATGTGTTGTAAATAAATTTTTGATATCTGAGTGTCAACCACTATGTATTGTTTGCTGTTGGCAGTTTGTGTTTTTCTCTTGTTCTCTGAAATGACATTGTATTTTCACTTTTCTATGAACGTAGGTTTTCATGATCAAATCACCAATGATGTGTGATGTGCCGTTATTTATCTACATGTTGCACAGATGAGCCTATTATTTGGAATGGTGTAGTTTTTTTAAGCCCTTTAATTCCCAAGATGTGATTGTTAATTCTACCCTCAAGCTGTCACACATTAACTTCTTTGTAAATTAGCTCTGAGAACTTGGTGTTAGATCGAGATAAAAACTTCTTCCTGATAAGCAAGAGTATTATTATAACCTGTTTGCTGGATAATGTATGGATATTATGGGGAGAAGTTACATGTTTAATCACTTCTGGGAGTTAAAGGGTAAACCAAAAAAAACTGAATCAAATAGATTCATAAATTATTTATTTCTAACTTTAACCAGGACATAAATGCAGGTCTCCATATCAAAACAACTAAAGGGGCCAAAGTTCTTAGAAGTGAGCTTTTGCAGTGTAATTTATCGGTAAGTTTAATCCCTGAATAACCTTTTTCTTTCAGAACTTTTGGGCACAGTTGACTTTGTGCTCACTGATGGAACAGTTGTGTTTAGGACGTGTGAGGCAGAGAAACAGAATGTTGTCTTTCAAATGGTTTGTACAACCTTCTAATAACCTGTCTGAGTTTTTAACAAACTTTTAGAAACTAAGATGAGTACATCTATAAGTTAGCAGGTGGAGAACTGATTACTCACAACAAATACCTTTATGTTCAAAACAAAAAAAACAAAAGGGTGGCCATGATGCAGTTGTGCATGTTATGAGAAACTTGTGAGCTTAAATCTTGCTTATAGATCTGGTAAACTAGACTCTGCATTGGTGAATCAATGGTGCAAGTCCTGACCAGGTCTCTGTGCTGTGTTCTTGGGCAAGGCAGTGTACAATCAAATTGGTTCCATCCACTCAGGAGTATAAATAGGTGTTTGCATATTGTCCAGGAAAGATAAAAAAAGGGGAAAGTCAGCTCTCAAGCCAATTGGCTCATCCAGCCAGAGCTTATTACAGTTTCAGTGAGGTAAAGCATTCACTCCCCCTGGATGGGATGCTAGTTCCCACGCATTTCTTCAGCTTTCCCTGACAGTTCATCAGTACCTATTGATACTCCTGGGTGAAGAGAGGCACCCTGTGAGTAGTGACCAGCCACATCTCAAACCCAAACCTCTGGACCTACACTGTACAGTCCACATATTTAACCATTAATCCTCCAACCAACTTTCTAAATTCCAATTTGACTTGCAAACATTGGATAAGAAGAGCTACCTCACGGAATGTTAGACTTCTAATTCCCATTTCTTTTATTTTTATTTGTTTTATCCACTTGTCTCCACATACTGTAAGAGAACCTGACAAAATTCTTGGGGCTAACAATGGATGAGGAGCCTATCTTGAAGGAGTGGCAATATACCATTTGCCTCTGTGCTGTGTAAAAATGAGGATAGGCACTGTTCCTGTACATGTACCAGCAATTGTAAAATGTGCCTTTCAATATTGTAAATATGTTAAATATTATAATTATATAACTTGCTATCATGTGATACTGTTTACTTCTGTTTGTTGCATTTGCATAAGGTGTAAACTGGTTCTTGTATCAACTGTTGATACACAGCCACAGGCTGTGGTTGACACATTTTGTGTTTTCTTAGGGCACAGCAGACCCAGAGAGAGCCTTGAAAGTTGCAAAACTCTTGTAAGTCACTGTTATACTGTTATGGTCATTCAAATTACACAGTCAGACAATGTTTTAAAACTTACTGTTCTAAAATTCTGTTCAAAGCCTTGGTGATCTAATAGTGGCAAATAACTAAAGAGTCATCTGCAAATGGTTAGATGTTGTAGTCTCCTTGGGTAATGACAATAAATGTAGGCCCCTTCTGCTTCTCTGTACTGGTTGGTGAGACTCTTGCACTTTTTGCAAAGCCATGAGGAGGGACTGTAGCTCCTGGTATTGTGGTCTGGCCTTGTTTCCAAAAATTCTTGAATAAGTGAATAATTTAATTTCAAAAAATTGGAAACTACTCAAATCAATGCAATCTGACCAAAGTTCCCTACAAATCGTTGTAAAGTGCTTCTGAGCATATTGAAAAGGAGAATGTACCATATGAATGCATCATCATTATCATTATCATAATGTTTATGATTGTCTCACTTAATTTGCTTTCTGCTACTCCTGTTAGAGAAAATGATGTTGCTGGAATTGATGTAAACATGGGCTGTCCAAAAGATTATTCTTGCAAGGTAATTGAAGGAAACCATCTTTGAATTTGAGAGGATAATTTGGTTAAATCACCTAAGTTGTTGATGTAAATTGGCCACCATAAGAAGGTTCTGAAGCTGATGTTGTAATGATGTGCCCTTCATCAGAGCAACATCAGCTTTAGAAACTTTTTACAGTTTCTTTAGAAACTTACCCCTTAATTAATTTAAATTAAATAGTTCACTGCTGGCTGGTGATGTTTTCTCACACCCTATTTCAAGGTAGATTATTGCAACAAAAATGTTTGGTACATGAATGTACAGCTGGTAGCTGGATTGCAAGCTTGCCGCTTATTGTTTTTGTTTCTGTTTGTCTTTGCAGGGAGGGATGGGTGCAGCATTATTGTCCCAACCAGACAATGTGCACAAGGTCAGTTATACCATCCCATAAATTTCATTTGTAACATTTGTATTGGGTATAATCTTATTACACTGCACTTTTAATCTTTAAGCCTTTGACACCTACATGTAAGAGTGACTAACATCTAATTTCTCTTTACAATATCACCCCTGAATCACACATTGAGGCCATGAGAATAAACAAAATGATCATAAAATAATGAAACACTTGATTTTAAAACAAATTCTCCTTGTCAATGCCTTGGAAAATGTGTAGCGAGCAGTATGGAGAATATGTACATTGAACATTTTACATTGATGTTAGGTTGTAAAGCCGGGGTTAACTAACATGTCTTTTTACTGGTGGTATTTTTGTGCAGATCCTTACAACCCTTGTGCAGGGAGTGTCCATGCCAGTAACATGCAAAATAAGAATTTTGCCCACTGTAAGTAAACGATGTGAATTTAAATATTGCCTTTCGTACCAAAAGGTACCTTTTGTTATTGACCTCTGTGGAACCAAACTTAAAGTTGTCGTAGAGCCTAAGAGAACTGAAAGTAATTTCTGTTTTATGTGAAATGGATGGAAGATAACAGTCCTGTGAAATTTAAATTGCGAGTCCTTTGTATTATGGTTGTTAGCGGGCTCAAACTTGAAATTCCTTGAAATTCATCGAACGTTTTAGAACTTGAATCTAGGCTCGTCCGTGACTCAAAGTGTTCGAGAATTACGATTCGAGTTTCGAGGAACAACTCTCGAGGATCGAGTTTCGAGGATCGAGACATGCGTCCTTATTCCTAGCTCGTTTCCAGTGTCTCTCCGTTGGGGTTGCAGGAAGAGAGGACCTTAGTTCTCTTATGTCAAGTTTCCCTTCTGATTTTGATGTTTCTAATTTTTTTTTTGAGGGTGAAAAATGTTCCGTAACACAATTTCAGTGTCTGTGACTGACTGTGATTTGGCCATCCGTGACTGTTATGTTCACCCTTAAAACGGATAACGATATTTTTCTCAAGCTCATCCAATACTTGCTAATTAACCCGATAGTAATGCCAAATTCTCTCAACTGATTTAAAGGAAAATGTAAAGGAGAACAAGTAGACGGGAGAATCCTTAACAGGACCTTATGTATTATATATTTAAAAATAATTTTTTTCAGTTTTTCTGTCGCCTAACGCGTTGTTTATTTTCGTTCTTGTTTTCTTATTCTTTGTAGATTGAAGAAACAGTTGGTTTTGCTAAAATGGTAGAGGAAACCGGTATCGTCGCTCTGGCTGTTCATGGAAGGTAGGTTGGCCACAGGTATGCAGGGCAAGAACAATACGAACATTTTGTGGTTGTTGCTAGGGCGCGAGGCGAGAAAACTGGGTCAAGTTTATGAACTAGAGGCTTCTGGTAAACTCCTCATAAATTATACTGCGCTTTAGATAAAATTATTTCGGGAAAATCTTTTTCTTAACGGTTCTACTTCACGAAACATTAATCGAAGGTAGAATAAAAGGAAAGCTAAGCAAAGGGAAATTATAAGGAAAGGAATCCTTGTAGCAGAACGATTTCTGAACAGTCAAAGACTATTGTTGTAATTCATGATTTTATTGATATTTTTCTCAGGGAAAAACACGAGCGTTCACGAGATCCGGTGCACATTAATGTCATACGTGAAGTTGCTAAGGCTGTCTCCATTCCTGTAATTGCAAATGGTGTGTCACTACTGGTAAATACGTACAAAGATATTGAAAAATATCGTCAGGAGACAGGTTGTTCGTCAGTCATGTTGGCAAGAGCCGCTCAATGGAATCCTTCAATCTTTAGGTAAAGTTCTCCAAGGTTTTTAGTTCTGAAATACTTCTTTTTTCTCTTTGCCATTAATTAAACGTACTAATTCACATGTCCAGTAAATATGTAGCTCGGGAATAATTTCGTTGACCTACTTGTGCTCAATGCTGGTGTGTGAACTTTTACGTCTGCAAGCGAGAATGACTCATGTAGCTTCCTGTTTTCACTTCTACATGTGGTGAGGGTAGAAGGCGGAATGAGTATGCAGAATGGCATAATATAATATCTGTGGAATGACGCTAGGGCATAAATTAACATCAGGACAATCTACAGGTGTTCCGCGTAAATTATACTATTCCGTAAGTCATGCCACATGCCGCAAACGCGTTCCGCCTTTAACCCTCACCGTCCCACGTGTGAATGAGAACGGGCTTTGTGAGAGGAAATTGTCTTTCTCAATAAAACAACCGATTAACTGGACGAAGATTGAAATCGCACATGATAATTTTGATCCAGAGCAGAAATGTATTTTCCTTTCCCGTTTCTAAGAATGATACATGTTGGGTCAAGATTGATCGATCGTACGGCGTAAAGTTTTACTTTGTGTGATCAATGTATTGACCAGATTATTTTAATTTCCAATACAGGAAAGAGGGTCGCTTATCTGCCTTACAAGTGATAACGGAGTACATTAAACTGGTAATGATTCAAAAATTCAAATTCCCTTTCTTCTTGTCGGATACTTTATTCTTGGTTTTAAACCGAAGTTATCATATCCCACCCAGTTTTAGTAATAGGTGTGCAATTCTTAGTCAAGTTGTTGCTGTTTGGGGTGATTCAACCTCCAAATGACTTATGAATCACTGTCACATCGATATCGCTGCTGTGATGTGTAAATGACGTGAACAGCGAAAAATCTCAGTCAAAGGACGTTATATTCTTTACATGGGTCATTCCCACTCTTTCAACACTTTTCCGAGGTCATTCCTTACTAACTACCTTGCATTAGGCATCCTCTCTGTATACACTTAAACATGTAGCTGTTTTCTGTTAAAAAGCGGAGCCTGTTTGATAGAGGGATAACTCCAGTCGCCGTTCTCTCGTAAAGCGAGCACGACCACCTATCTTCCTTTTCGACTTATCCATTGCATGGAACTGAATTAAGTAAGTTGAATATTCGTCAAGGTGATATGTAGCTATACGAACATCCTATAGTGGTAGAGGGATGAAAAGCATCAACATTTATACCGGATATTTATATTCTCCGTCTTTGCAGGCTATAGACTTTGACAATAACTTTGGGAATACAAAATACTGCCTTCAGCGGCTGTTGCATGAAGATACAACATCTTCAGAGGCTCTTCAGCTTCTTCATGCTAAAGAAATGCGAGACATCTGGTAAGGGCATAAGAAGAATTTCTGAAGCTTGCTGTGTAGTTGTGCTCAGCATTAGCACAGGATTATTAAAAAAAATCCCCTACCAGTATGTGAAAAGCGGAAGTGAAGTGCATTTATATGACGAAGTTTTAATATGTCGAGGAAAGACAAAATGAGTTTCAGTGATACTTCTTGAAAAAGCTTCATGGTTTAAAGGTCAGTTTTGCGACGTGCAGTACTACCCTAATAGCGAAGCATGTCACAAAATATTATTTCGGTAAGACAGAAAACACAAACGAGGCAAAAGTAAACCAGGAACGTATATTATTATCTTTATATTATTTTGATTACCTTACCCTATACCTCAACCGACAGATAATTTGACATACTGTCTTAGGCATGAGGAAAACTCATCTTCTACTCCATGAAAGAAACTGACTTTTTTTGCAACCTTGCGAACATTTCCCACTCATTCCCAAATTTTGTTACAAACTTTCTCAGTGAAATATGGAATCTTACCTCATACTTTGATGATGCCGTTCAGAGGAGAAAACATAAAATGGAAACCATGAAAGATGACGAGGTAAGACAGACTACCAAGCAAGGAATTAAACAAATTGATAGTCAATCAGAAATGTAATTCTCCTTTTCGAGGTTGGAAGTAATCAAGAAAACAATATCAGTATGTTCATACTTACCTGTCACTCACGTCTGACAACAAAAACAGCAGGTAAAGCTACTGTTCATGAAAATTTATGCTCAGTGCCAATGAGCAGCTCGTAATTACATGACTTTGAAACCATAATAAAAGAAAACCCCTCAAATTATCCTTCCTAAGATTTTAATGATAGGGTTACTCCTGTTTTGTCCCACGGTGTCTTTTTTGTTGTCGAATTTTTTCGAACGTAGAATGAGAAGAGGAAACGAAAAAGTTCGGATTCTTCAAGTGAAATAACTGAAATTAAAGTCAAGTATCTCAGGTTAGTAATCGAACTGTGATTTGTTGTTTTTTTGTCAATCGTTGATGGAAAAACAACGTTACTGTTTTAAATTAATTCTTAAGCAGTTGCTTTCTTGACTGTCAATATTCATGTTTACCTCTAATTTATTTTTCGTCTCTTTTGTAGAAAAATGTACACAGGTGGTGTCACACCCAAAGGGATCCTTCTGGAGTGGTCAAGGTTTGCATTAAATTTGGTATTTATTTACCTCCCCTGTGAATAATGTGTAAGCCGCTTAGCGGTTGCTGTCTTCAAGCGATGGCGACATCAAATCTATAATTGTGCCTCCACGTCTTGAGTGTATTTGAACTCTGATGGGTACACGCCTAGCTTTTCTTTTCTTTATTGAGGGCCATGTTGGATTTGATACTCCAACAAACTGCACGAATCTGTAACCAGATTTTTTTTTAGCGTTACCTAATTGCCTAACCTTACAATTTCATTTCTACACTTGTAGTAGTAGGAGATGTTGTACAGTTTGGTAGCAGCAATAGCAGAAGCAACATTTAAAGTGAATAATGACAAAGACAACAATGACAAAAAGTAATTTTTTTTCTACTTTCTTTAGGCGAAACAGAATCAAACAGCCTACATATGAAACCGTAAGTGTCTTTTATAAACCAGTTTTTGGCCTGGTTTAGAGTTCCTTACTCAGATTTTTCCTCGAGACAAAATATGAGTTGGAATGGTTTAACCTTCTTTAAATGTACATTCTACAATAAGGTAAGTTCCATTATTTTAATGATTGAAATTCTTTAGTACATGGATACGAAGTCATGCTTAATTCGTCACTCTTTTCTTTTTTGGTAGATTGAAAGGGAAGAGGATAGATGGTTCAAAAGTGTTGTTCTCGTCGGAGACAAAAAATATTCTTCAACGGAATGGTGAGTGTTCATAAGCAAGTGTCAGTTGTTTCCGCTGATAGGTACTTAAATTTTCATCTTTGGTTTTATTTTACGTGTTGTAAGTGTGGAACACGCGATGGCCTGGGGCGCTGGACTCTGGGTGGACAGTTCTGGGATCGATTCTTGGCCAGGTCATTGTGTCGTGTTCTTAGTGAAGATACTATACTCACATGAAGTACTTCTCTTCATCCAGGAATATAGAGAGGTATTGCTAATTGTCAGATAAAATGCATCCTATCCAGTAATATCCCTAGTCGTTTCATGCTTTGAAAAGCGGGGTAAGGTCCGGGCGGTGTGCCGGAATATTCGGGCGACTAATTTCGTGTCTTTTTATAAAGCAATATGCTATACTGTGATTGGCTAGTTTTGTATATCAATCGTAGGATGTACTGAAGGAAAAATCGGTGTAATATCAGATCATATATGATAATCAGATGAGAAGTGGTCTATATAAATATTTTGGTTAAAAAAATGAGTTAAGCTTCTTGTTATTTTCGTCATAATTGTATCTCTGCAGGGAAGGCAGCAAAAAAGCTGCTGAACAGGCTGCCGCCATTGTTTGTTTACAATCCTTGGGTGTCCACGACGGACGATTGAAGGCGGAGAGCACGTGACATTACCTCTTTCTCCACGGTTCTCCGTGGAATCAAGCTCAAACAAGCCCCGAATGGAATGAAACTGCATGCTCTCTACTTATGTCGGAATGACACATAATTTACATGGATAGAGGTTGCAAACCACAATTCATCCAGTTGTTCATCAAGACTGGCTTGTGTGTTTCAGGCGTATTTTTGTGGTAGGCTCTGTATGGATGTTGGCTGTTCTGTAGAAAACGAAAAAAAAAATGCAATTGTTGTGCCCCGAAAAAGTCAAAATTTCACTCTCCTGTTTTGTCTGAGTTCGTTGTTAGTTGTCATGAATGTCATTAGTATATACCACACAGGTGAATGGTGCTTTTTGTGCGCACTGATTGGCTCGTTCGGAAGTGATTAGGAAGTGCACTTCACCGCTGAGCAGCCGCAGAGGCAAAATCGCGCGTAAAGAGTTTAATTTGTGACCAATTTTCGGTATGTTGACAGAAATCCACGAATTTTTCTATTTCAGTCCAGTATATACTACAAAGACACTTCGCTAAGATGAAAGTGTTGAATATTAACCTCCGTTTATTTGAATAATGGATAATTATTTATTATAGTGTTGCTTTGTTGAAATGTGTTTAGTCAGAAATCAAGTCCACTTAACAAGGAAAACTTAACAGTCGGTTACTTACACGAGGTTTAAACAAAACCGTGGTTTTACGCAATCAGTGGGCCTTAGGTTGTACCTGTAGTTAGATCGATTTCATTCACTAAATGTCCTTTCCACTGTCAGCTTTCGTTCCTCGTGACACTGTTCACGAAATAAGTGTTCTGATTAAAGGTTCGGCTAAACTGAAGATGGTTTAGAACGCGGTTTTGTTGAAAAACGGCTAACGTTTGTTTGAATAATCAGACCATAGATTCCTACTTTGCAATTTTCCCGCAGTTTTTCAATTATGATGTCTCCATTTTACCAGACAAATAACTTTTGATTTCCCCTTTTCGTTGAAGGCAACTTTCTATGTCAAGACAAAAAAGGAAAATTTCGTCACGTAGCGTAAACGTTGGCTGTTCGTTAAAATACATATGTGCATAGGCTTCGAAGCTGTCGGCAAATGGTGCTTTTTAGTCAAAAAGAAGACAACGACATTGATCTCATATCATGCCATCAAGGTGCGAACTCCAAAATGAATGAAAGTAAAGGTTATCTTGTTTTGTTAAAGAAGGTGTGCTTGAAATTTCGTGCAGAGAGAAATCAAGCTTGGACATTTCTAAGGTATTCTGTCGGATGGAATTTAGTTACACTTGACATAGCCATTAGTCTTTGAAATTGTTTGTTGAACTGGGTTAAACGGTGCAAGCGAATGGTTTGAGGCAGAACAACATGGCCAGAGGTTGGAAAACGCCATCGATAAGAGGCGTCGGTCATCGTTCTAAATTATGACTGCTGAAATAAAGAAAAATAATTTAAACTGCAGAGTTGGCTCAGAGCCAGAACACTTTTGCAGCCGTTTCAATGCGTTTTTTTTTTTTTTTTTTACATCTTTTATGTCTTCTCGTTTTGTCTCACTGGGAATCATGCTTGGACATTTTCCAAGGTATTCTGTCGGATGGAATTTCGTTCCCTCGATATAGCCATTAGTTTTTGAAATGTTTGTTAAACTGGGTAAAACGGTGCAAGCGAATGGTTTGAGGCAAAACAACACGGCCAGAGGTCGGAGAACGCCATCGAAAATATGCGGGAAGAGCCTATCTTTCTAACATGTGACTGCTGAAACAAATCTGAATAATGCAGAGTTTTTTTTTTTTTATATCTTTTATGTCTTCTCGTTTTGCCTCGCTGGGAATCTTTTAAATTCCCCCAAGGCTTGTTTTAATTGTATATGCACATTGCTTTTGAAGGAAACCCTCGTTCGAGTTCGTTATGATTAAAAGCAAATCGATCTTAGAAATCATGGAAAAAATGACGTAACAAATGTTTAAAACCCTGCATAAGGGACACGAGACTCATTTGCGACGTCGTCCCTACGATTTAAGGGTTATATTATGGGAGGTTAGATCGATTTGCTAATTCAATATTGACCGTAGAGTCAAAATTCCTGAACTAAAATCAAAAGCGTAACAACCGGTCATTCGTCGAGCGGAGCAGTATCTATCACATGTAACATGAGGGCTTTCATTTTTGCATGTTCGGTGGATATCCATAAGATTAAGTCAGGTTTCGCAGCGAGTAGTCCAGCAAAATGAAACGCTGCACAAATCTACTTCCTTCAGCTTCAGAAGTTATCCAGATACGAATCAAGTGTTAGTTCATTTTCTTTGTATCACGGCATGCATAGAATATATCTATCATGCCCTTCTGTTAACACAGTTTTCTGATCTGATGAACTTGGATCAGAGGAGAAGTAAAAATCACTTACTGATGTTGATAATCTTTTATTGTAAGAAAAGGCAAAATATGTGCTTGTAACCCTTTAAGATGATCTTTTTGACCAAATTATATTCTACCAAGGAATACATCTACTTGCATGCATTACAAAAAGTTCTGTGGAAAGCCCAATATTCTGTTTGTATGACAAATTAACGTCCTCATTTTTTTGAGGGATGTTTGTTTGTTTGTTTCTCTCTGTATATAAAAGGCTTTCTTGGAACTCGAACGGTTCAGAAAAAGTGTCCAAGCTGTCCATAAGGAAGTCGCATATTCCAGCTGGGGCTGTGAAACATTCCAATATGTGGTTCAAACGGTGAGGACTGGCCAGACAAATGAAAAGGAAAAACTAGCTTGGGAACGCTACGATAGCTACACTCACCATTCACGAGAAGATAGGGAGGCTGTGGCATCTTGCGTTTAGAAAAATCTCCTCGAATGAAGTCGGCCAAGAATCTTGGATGTATCTGCCAGTAGCATCCACCTTTCTCATAGGCAACTTGACCTCTCTGAAAACATTCATGCAGTGACAGATTATGGCGGACTGTGTTCTTCCATCGCACTCTGTTTTCAGTGAATTCAGGAAAGCGTTCTTGGATGAAGCTGTAGATCTCCGATAGCGTTCTTTGCCTTCGTGGCGAGTCGAGAATAGCATAAGTAATTACCTCGACGTAAGACAAAGGACACGAATTTCTCTTGCGCTTTTGCTTCTGTGGTTCTTTTGGGTGAGAAATGTTCTTTTCCTTGCTTGATACACCGGGTGATTTGTGGAAGCTCTCTGCTTGATTCGCTTCCTTTGTACTCTTCATGATAGCCTAAAAGTGAAGCTTCGATGGGGAAGGAACCTAACAAGATCAGTTCAAGCTTTTAACAACTACAGAACGAAAGCTCTTGCACCCTGTATTTGTATGATCATGTCGCGAATAAGAGAACTGCCGACTTAAATGATTGGTTGTTGCGTTTATCGTGATGATTGCTGTCCATCATGACTCATCCTCTTGTACATAATTAGTGTTTTTTATTAAATCACTCGCACAATACTACTCTTTCGATCTGATTCTCCCAAACAACCACAAAGCGCTTCTTTACTGGCCGTCCTGAAATCTGGTGTTGCACTTAAACAATATCATTGGTTGATTACTCTCTATCTTCTTATTACCTGCCCGTTTGGCATTGTATTGAAACTTCAAGGGCGCTCCTCGTACTCAACACCCCTGAGAGCAGTACAAGGGTGAGGCAACTTAGCACAAGAAATTGCTTGCATTTATACATATAGCTTTCAAAACGACTCAAAACAAAACTTAAAATTTCTTCGAATCTATAGATATTTTGATGTTAAATGACAATGAAAGTGAAAAGTTTGGCAAAGACAAATGGTATGAATATTTTAAAACGGCCATTAGCGTATGCTGCAGCCATTTCCGTTTCCTTCACTAAGGAGCGGATAACGTGTCTACAAGTGCCCGCCGTTTTACCATGCGCGTGCAGTGGAAAAATGCTGAAAAACAAGTTCAAGCTTAATGATCAAGTTTCTTTTGTATATTCATGGGAACGATATCTTGCAAGGATTTTTTCCCTCGAATGCTTTTAATGAATAAATACCAAATACTTTCACTGATGCATAAATCTTATCTAGAAATTTAAAATGCCAAGAGAAATGAGCATTGGTCCGATGTCTCACAGTTGTGATAGGACAAAATGAAATAAACTGCAAATCTTTCACAAACTTAAATCAAAATTAATCATTTCATTGTGATACCTTGGTATCTCGATCATCCTCGCGCTTTCTGGTATTGTGAGCGGCGCAATGGTGTTTGTATATAAGGTCTGCTACAGGTTTTCACCAAATTAGATCGCCATGGCATAATATCCTGTTGATGATGGGGTTTTTTAAAAATAAAGGCTTTCAGAAGTTGAAACAAAAACTTTAGGTTTCTATCTGTTCAAAAAATCGGCTATCATTAGTTCGTTTGTTGTTGTGTTTTTTTTCGAATGAATAAATTCGCGGATTAAAGTGTGTGTTAGTTTAATTTACAAATGGATTGTGGGATTTTGTGGATCAGTGATTATGGCGTATTTGTTTTGGTTTAATTTACAAATGGACCATTTCCTATTTTGTGGTTTAGTGCAATCAATTTAAATAATTGTAACCTTAGTGACAAGGTGTCTAGGTATGTCTAGAACAAACCGTCGCACCCCTGCATTCAAAATTAACAAGAGCTTTCGACGAAGTGTGTCAATTTGCCGCCGTTAGATCCCAAAAGAGAAAGTTGCTAATTTTTTCAATATTCAAACTGAGTGCTTTGCATTCAAACAGCAACAATTTCTTAAGGAACAAAGAATAGAGTTCCTAACATGTCCGAGGGTAAAGGAAGTCAGCAATGCGTGAAAATCTCAAGTAACGGGCCATCAACACACACAGATCAGCCAATTAGCTTCCGCAGCAGACGAGGCTTGAATAACAACACACTTCTTTGTCGCGATAATTACAAAGTTAACCATTAACTATATCACGTTCGTGCTTTCCACAAGAATGAAGCCACATGTTAGCAATATGGACGATAATGAAGTAAAACGTGACCCTTGAACCAAGATGATACTTACCATAGATTATCACGTTTGCTACATTTCTTCTAGTTGACTTGCAGGACTATGGCTTTTTTTCTGTTTAAGAAAGTTTATGAAACTTGTTTCTATGAATGTAAGGGGTTTTGGACTAGGTTGATTGCTTTAGTAGACCCCACATGTTTTGAATTGTACCAGGTATTATGTAAATCGGTGCCTTTAGCCATTGCGTGTGGAAATTGGACTGAGTAAAGAAATGTCTTTGTTGAAGTTTTTTTTTTTTTTTAACACTCACAAACTCAAAGTAAGACGATGACTGTAACTGAAACTGATCTTGTAAGGGTAAATGCCAAGTTAAAAGAGCATCGCACCGACGTCTTAAAGTAAATGATAAAGCTGAATAAGATCAACTGCAGAACTATTACAAACTATACCAAATTTTATCATATGATTTCGATGTCTTAGTCACATGACCATGGTTGGGGCTCACGTGTGTTGCGAACTCTCTATTAACTTTTGAATATGGGGTCTGCAACAGTTCCTTAGATCGCCATGTCTAATATCATGTATATAGGGGCTTTGAAATGAATGCTTTTAGAGACTAAAACAGAAAAGTAGTTTTTGTCTTTTTTTTTCTACATAGACACCTTAAAGACTTTGGAAAATTAATCGTCTGTCACGAAGTACACCTTTCGCATGTCATGAACAGGAGAGGAAAAATCCAAGTTCGCTTCCACAGAGTAAATAACATCGTAGGGAAATCGACCTCACCAATAATTGTTCATTTGAATCATCCGTTGTTTCATTCGCGTATGAAGCCTTTTCAAGGACGTTAGGCTGCACTCCGCAATAAAAGGATATGAAGACAATGAAGATGCTTTCGCATGGAAATTGCGCAAATTATCAACACATGATAAAAATGAACACTGCTTTCTCCCTGAGAATGTTTCATTAATAATAGACACTCAATTGACTTTATTTTCCGTTAATGAAGGGCAAGATGTCTTATAGAAACTCAAAAAGTTTAAACAAGCTTATCAACATCTGCATCATGTGAACGATGAGATTTGTGATTGTTTACAGAAGATAAGTGGACTACCAAGTGGAAAGTTTTTCAGGGCGGTATTCGTATCAGCAGCGGAAATATTGATTAGAAGTGGAAATGAGCAATCGATGTCCAGGTTAAAATAAGGAGACTGGAGTAAATTTCAGAGGTAATTTGGGCTGATTTCGTATGTTACAACTGCCAATTTCTATGAAAATGGTTTTGAAAACTGTCGCATGACCCGTCCAATAACTTTTATTTGAGATTCAAAAATGGTCAATTTTGCAAATATTGTTGCTAATCTAATCACATTGGCGATTTCTGTCGCGCAAATCAAAGCAACTTTAATCGTTCCTCAGTTGAAACTCCGTGCGAGTGAACTAACCAACCTCATTTTATCAACACTTTTCATAGTCTACTGTTACTACAAAGAAAGAGCCATTGTTTTCATTCTCTTGTTTGCTAACGGGAGCTTCTAACTTTCCAGTTGCTCGAGACCATCCTACTCTTTGTCAAGCGTGCGGTTATTCTCCTTTTCTTAATTGAGTTCTGTCTTTGTAAGTAGTTGGGGAAAATCTCTGGTTCTTTGCATGAAATTTGCACTGGCCGTTTTACTACTCAACAAGGCCGTCCGCTTTGTGTCAGAACGAAAAGAAATTTTTTTTTTCATTTGTTATAACCGAACGTTTTCATATTTGAGAGGATTTTTTTAAACTTTTTATTAGCATTTTTCCTTCGGGCACACTTGCCTTTCGCTAACCACAACTTTTTGTGTTGCGTTGTTTTGTCTTTTGTTTCACCTTTTAATTGTTTTTGTCTTTTTTGTCTCTTGTTTGAGAAACATTGAAAGAAATGTGACCTTGTTAGAAATTTGTCACATGCTAGGAAACCGGTCAAATATGATAATATGGGAAACAAAGAGCACACCTACATTTGCCTCGCTGTTAACATGTGGCTTCGTTTCATGTTGGTAATGACACTCCATAAATGTCTCGGAGGCGCCGGATCGAACCGTGTAAAAGCGTTAATTTATTCACGATTCTTATTCCACAATCAAAAATGATTCATTTCATTTGTTTTTGAAACCTTCCTTTAACAATCTCCTTCTGGTAGAAAGAGCAACCTCGGAAATCACATTTGTAGTGGAGAGGAGTGTTGTCAAACTGATATATTTGGAGAGTAAGAAACTTTTTCGAGTGAGAGATTAGATTACTTTTATTATCAAGATAAAATGTAATTGACTGTATTTACGGCTATGAATACACTCTCTGAAACCGTTCAGAACTACGCTAAAGGTATTTTTCCATAAATCATATCCATATTAGGGCAAAAAATTAAATCAAGATAAACATTTGTTGATATTCATCCAGTAATCTAAAATGTGGGTTTATTGAATGCTTGCGAGCCATATTTTTTTTAGTTGAACAACGAATTTTTGTGTGCTTTTTAAAGCAGAGCGGTTTTTAATGGGGTGTCGAAAGTAATCAGGGATTGCTTTGGATTTCCCTCACTCCGCTCTATGATTGGTCCAAAGAACTCGCGCCATATACTCTCTAAACCAATCAGATACAAAACTAAAGCCAATCACGACTTGGTCACCCGTGTTCTCCCGCGCTTTGGGCAGTTTGCGTGGTTTTATTTTGAGTTCTCTTTGGTTTTTAAAGGTATTTTCTAATCTTCTGATTGGTTGATGTGATAACGCTCTATGAGCCAGTAATCATCCATTGCCATACACTTACATCGTTTAGACAGCAAACAAACTAAACTTGACCATCTTTTCAGAGATATTTGCACATTCAAAAACTGACTACCTAACTCATTCTCCTCTAACTAATAAGAAAAACGGTACCTGTTACTTTCGCTTGGCGTTTTTTACAACCACTATTATTTGGGAAAATGATTAGAATCCTCAGAGGATTTTGTTTTTGTTTTTGTTGTTAAAAATCTCTTAAAACACTAATAAGCTAAAACATGTCCTTGCTACTGAAGTTTTTCAGTTTCAGTCAGGCACCAGCGCATCCCTATCAGAAAGAAAAATATGACACTGTTTAATGATTAAAGCTTTGATATATTTCCATAAATGCGGTCCCGGGACTTCTAAGTCTTCCGTGATATAGACTGGAAAATTTCCAGGTGAGTGTCGGAAGTAACTGGGTTTGCTTCGGTTGCGCCGCTTTCCTAATATACCACATTCTCACGTCTCGGGCAGTTCGCTGTTTGTTTGCTTTGAGTTGTCCTGGGTTGCCTGTGATATTTTCCTTTGTTCTGATTGGCTATTGTATTACTTAGTTCGCTTTTTGTTTTACGACTCTCGATCGAAATGCGCACTATTGTTACGAGTAAAATTACCTATTCTCATCAACTTAAGTTTTCTTCGCTGAGGAGTTGGTAACCGGATGATTTACTGAAGCGAAAGAAGGAAATCAGGAAAAAAAATTGTTATTTGGATCTTGGCCCAGTTGTTCAGGAGGTGGTAACGGTATCCAACGGATGAATCGCTATCCAGCGGATAAGTGACAACAAAATGTACCGCAGTATCCACCGGAAAGAGATTTACCCTGCGTTTAGCGTTATCTACTCCATGGACAAACGGGGCTAGAACAATAACGGAAAACCATATTAGCTAAAAGTTATCCATCAAGAAAAAATAGACGTCAAATTAAGTAGAAAAAAAGCATGAATTACCACATTTTAACGTCATCTGAGATCCATCAATAAACAGATTTAAGGTAACTTGGAGTCTACTTATTTAATGAAGTACAAGTGTGATGAAGATCAACTTTAAAAAGAAAACCTGATAGGTCGCTCATTATGTCATACAAACTCTGTAGAATATCAACCATTAGTCAACAACTGAGCCAAGGATTGTTAACAAAACTGACGCGTCGCAGGTTTTTGTGGTTGGTGTACGTATTGTGCGTTCTTTATACGCGATTGCAAAAACGTTGAATCCTAAACAGCATGGTCCGTTATGGTTGATACCCAACTGCTTTATGGGAAATGTTACATAATTTCCATGACTCATGGCAAATCTCTGCGTATGATAATTATTTTCTGTCAGGAAAGTGTGTGTAGCTTCTATCATATACCACGTGCAAAACAATGTCGTTATCATGTCCTATGTACTCATAAAGCTTTTGGGTCTCATCGTTGATTGTCTTTAAGTGTAAACGTTTTTGCAGTGCATAGCAAGAAGGACCAAGGTAAAAATTTCCACCAGAATGCCACAATTCTCAGTGTTTTTAAATTAGATATTTACCGATCATCGTATATTTTGTTCACTGCATAGTTTAGTTCATCGGTTCCCCTGCAAAGTAGAAAAAAAGTGTGGATAGCGTACGTGAATAACCGAGATGACGACTCCTAAAAAAGGAGGTTTACAACTGACAGAATATCAAATCAATCAGCAGCAGTCTTCGTTTGAGGTGTAAAATATGATGAACAAAAAAAACAGTACTTGCATATTAAACAATATACAGTTAGAGATCTGGGTATCATAAGATGACTTGATCAATACATTTTAGTGAAGACCATAGTCCTAAGAGATCTGGAATACAACAAATGAATTAATGGTTGGTGAGTCAGTGCACCAAGAAGTATTTGGTTTAGACGTTTGTCTTTACAAACAAACTTTGTTTTATATTAGATATTTACCGATCATCGTATATTTTGTTCAATGCATAGTTTAATTCATCGGTTCCCCTGCAAGGCAAAAAAAAAGTGTGGATAGCGTACGTGAATAACCGAGATGACGACTCTTTAAAAAAGCAGGTTTAGAACTGACAGAATACCAAATCAATCAGCACCAGTATTCGTTTGAGGAGTAAAAAATGATTACCGAAAAAACCAGTACTTGCATATTAAACAATATACAGTTAGAGATCTGGGTATCATAAGATGACTTGATCAATACATTTTTGTGAAGACCAAAGTCCTAAAAAATATCTGGAATACAGCAATTGAATTAATGGTCGGTGAGTCAGTGCACCAAAATGTATTTGGTCTAGACGTTTGTCTTTACAAACAAGGAAGCAACAACAACAAAAAAAACTAAATGCGATTTGTACTCACGTCTGAAATGCAACTGTGTTGATGTCCACATTCTTTTGACCTCTCCTATTTAAAAACAAGTTTATTGGTTCACATCACAGGAACAAAAGGAAGGGTTTTATCTTCATGATATGTTAACATCATTCGAACATCTAAGTGTATTTTACTAAATTAACCCTGCCCATTTTTTTGGTACCATGATATGATAATTTTTACATTCGTTAGGCATAGTAGGTCTTCCCGTCAAGTAGTTTTTTTCTCACCTTTTCCAGTAAAAGAATACACCCAATGCTACGACGGCGATTAAAATGATTACCAAGGGTAACACCACAGCAAGTACCTTGACGCCTATCAAAGGATGAATAGCATTCGTCAGTAGGACTACCAAGTTGAGGGAATTGGTTTTCCTCGTAGCTCATAAAGAAAGAGCAACTAGGAAAGACTGTTTCGTCATGCCACGAAAATAAGATAGGAAGGTATTATCAGACCTCTCCACCTTACCCTGCTTGATTTTTAGCCCACCTTAATCATCTTGAAAAATGCTAAATACAGTAAATTCGTGTTTCTCGAACGCATTTAATTTGTCTGCACTGAGGTGTATTTTTCCTCGAGACTGACCTGGATCAACCTTTCTGCCGACCAAAATTCTGAAACTATGGACTATAAAGGCGACAAAAAAAAACTACAATGTCCCTTTCGACAAAATGACGGTAGGGTGATGACCCTAGATGATAAAGGAAACAAATAATAAGCTATTGAGTGACATCAGAAACCTAGGCAAGCTCTTGGGCCAGTGTTTTGAAAAAAAAATTTAACACATTTTGGTTTTTTGGTCAAGTCAACCTTGGTCTCCATAATGGCTACTCGTTAAGAGCAGTTAATGCTTTTCAACATTTAACTACACAAGGTTCAACCTTCGCGATGACTCAACCTGGGTTTTTCGCCAACCTGGGGTGATGTAAAGAGACTCATATAGTTCCAGCTGTAACTATCTTTTTAGTTTCGTCCAATACCACCTTAGCTTAACCATTCGCATGCTCTTTGTGCAATCACAGTCAACCAGATCCTTTTATGCCTTATTCTACATAAGTCCAACCTCTTTTTTCATTGAAATAAACTTAAAAAAACATAACACGATGATGATCAAACTTGTAAACTCCTAAACAAGAGTAAGTGAAAGAAAAATTAACTATGCCGCATAGTTTCAATAATTTCTTTTGCGGTGGTTGTTGGGTCGCCATACACAACTTATGAAGTTCACTCAACGCGTCGGATGATGAGACAACGCAACGATTAGAAAACAATTTCAGCGGCACCTTTTTTCTTGTTTCCTTGTTGCGCTCCGAGTATTCCCCCTTCTTTGTCTGTGTTAGCTTCTATCGTCATTTCTGATGGTGGTACATTTGGCGAACCAGCAAACACTATAAGGTCAAATAAAGTTTCAAATTCCAGTTTCTGGTTTTCCTCCAAGTAAATGAATCGAAACATGCACAGGAACTCGCCGTAACAGCACGACGCCGGGGGAACCTAATGAAATGAAGACTAATTCGAGCAAACTTTTCTCATCGCAAAACAAACATATTTAAAAGGGAGGAGTGAGATCTGTTTTTATTATTATTGCATCCTGTTTGGGATCGCTGGCGACACTGACTGGCTCTTAGCAGTATCGTGTATACAAGGTCTCCACTAGTTTTTCCTCTGAATGAAAAACTAAAACAGAGAAACTACAAATCAAATTGTAGAAAAAGTAAAATGATGTAAGAAGTGTAAAAGAGGAACAGTTAACATTCGTGTAATGTAATTTTGGTCTAAAATGATAATCAGTGATTTTAAATCGATCACGTGCTACCCGTTCGTTCGATTTGAACTTCAGCCTATTCAATTACCTTTATGAAATTGAGTGCATTTTGAAATTGACTGGCAGACTAATTAGCTATTGCACACTCTATCAGGTATCGCACCCAATTTGTCTCTATGAGCAAAAGCAGTTACTATACCTGAGCAGCCGTAGATTTCCACCCTCATCGATATATGATTATGCCACTCAACAGGCATCAGGCGAATGTAACGTGCTGTTATCAGTGGACTGAGTATGTTTTTTACAACTGTGTCACTGTCCTGATTTCCATAAAATACCTAATGTTGAGACAGTAAAGGCTTTAAATGGAATCCATAAATGGTCAGTTTGCTGGGTAACTTTCTATTGCATAACCAAGGCCCATGAAAGAACTCTTACGTTCGGTTTAGCATTGTATGGCCTACAATTAACTGCTATACATAAAATAAGCACTTAAGTCAAAATGGGGTCAAGCGGCTAACCTCTCTGATCTCTTCAGCAGTAATCATACCTTTGCAGAACTGTCTTCTGTTGCATTATAAAATTCAAAAGTCACTCCGTCACTGCTATACTGTATGAGGTATCTGGACACCCACTGGTTGTTCCCATTCATCCCCTGAGTCGCAACACCTGTCACTCGAGAGTTATCACCGATATCCACTTGAAGCCACTGATTGAAGTTATTGCTCATGGCAGACCATCCCCCTCCCATGTTCCCGTCTACTTTCGAATTTAACCTTGCTTCCTTTGCGCCATGATCCTCATCCATTTGGGAGGATACCCTTATGTTGGCAACAGGTATTTCTTTATTCTCCATACCAAGTGCTGCAGCACATCCTGTGTTTGAAAAAATATATATTGTTTTAAAAGTTAATATTTTGGATCGTTTCAATATAGCAACACATTAGAATAACCTTCCAAGAACAAGATTCTGCTTAGTTGGTTAAACAGCTCTGATTGCTTCATTTCATTACGTAAAGGACCATATCTGTAAAATATATGGCGTTTTGTTCTTGTCAATAATTTTATTTATGGAATGATTAGTTATAATTGTTCCTTTAAAGCACCTGGACAGCCATAGATCTCTATCCTCATAGAGATATGATTGTGCCACTCCACCGGTATAAGCCGTATGAACCTTGTTGTGATTGGTGGGCTCAAACTGTTGTAAACCACTGCCTCGCTGTTTTGATTTCCAGTAAAAACCTTTTAGACAAAAACAAGGAAAAATGTTGATATCTTGCATGCGAGAAATTTCTATCCCATATCAAAATTAGATGACAAATTTGTCACATCAAAGGGGTGTTCTTGATAGAAATTATAACAGTCTTATGTGGAGCTGGGTTTTTCTCATACATTTTTGTCACAGTAAGGAGAAGAAGTACAATACAACGTTTCCTTTAGGTGCACTTTTTTCGAGGCTTAGCTACGTAATTCATCAGGAAGACCACTTTTAAAAGTTGGAGACGATTACTCTTAAAATGGTGTAACATACCCTCGCAACGCTAGCATAAGATGGTTTGTACACCTGGAAGCTTTGGCCATCCTCACTGTTCTCCATCGTATACTTGGTCACCCACTGATCGTACCCATTCCTTCCTTGAGTGGCCACACGTGTCACACGTGTGTAAGTACCAAGATCTACTTGAAGCCATTGGTTAGCATCATTTATGAGAGATGACCAACCTCCCCCAAAGCCACCGTCCGCTTTATAATTTAACCTGGCCTGACTTGCAGGGCTATTGTCATCCAAAATTGAGGATGTAGTTATCTTTGAGTCAGCGATATTTCCGCTTTCCATACCAAGAGGTGCGATGCAGTCTACGAGATGCAAATCAAGAATCAGGAAGAAAAAATGTAATTTCCTTTGAGGGAATGGTTAGATCTAATTTAAATAGCTACTGATAATAGACACTAACTAGTCGAATTTAATTTTTTTCAACCTAGAAGACACGTGCTGCTATGGCCTTTTCATAATCAAGTAAAACCAAAAACTAGTTCGTGGATGGAAACGATGATGCGGTTGACTTGATTCATCTAAAGCTACATCTTTTTCATTGATTAATTTAACTAAGATGAAGACCTTTACCACAAGCCGCTGCTAAGATTTCTGTAACCCGTTTTTCAAAATGTCCTTAGTCAGGTTATTGAAGGAAAAACTTTTCAACCACGAAAGGCAAAAGTCGTTCGAAAGGATCGACTCTACCTGGGCATCCGTAAATCTCAATTCTCATTGATATGTGTTTATGCCACTCTAGCGGCAATAATCGGACGAAACGTGTTCTGATTGGCTCGCTCAGTCTTTTGACTACAACTGTGGAACTGTCGTCATTTCCATCGAAAACCTTCAAAAGAAAGTTTAAACAAACAACAGTCAGTTTGCTTTCTTTCCTCACAATTACCCAGAAACTTACTTACCCACCTAACCACCCATCGAGCCACCTGCTCTCCCCCAACCAGTCATTTACACCACACAAATTGCCTAAACTGGGCTGAACGTTTCTCGTTCATATCCATAGGCATCATATTGATTATACCATTACGGTGTACGATAAACATTAATTACTGTCATTCAGAATTCATAGTTAGAATACAGCGCTAAGGGCATACCTGTGCAGAACTGTGTTCTGCTTTCTTGTAAAATTGGAAATTTATTCCAGAATAGCTAAATTGTATTCTGTATTTTGTCACCCACTCGTCGAGTCCATCTATCCCCTGTGTTGCTACACGCGTCACAATTACTTTACTTCCAAGGTCCACTTGAAACCATTGATAAAGGTCGTTCTTGCGAGCAGACCACCCCCCATTTTTACCATCAGTGACTGTTTGACTGTGCAACCTGGCATGTGCCGGAGCACGATCATCATTCAGTTGTGAGGAGGCAGATATTTGCGCATCAGAGATTAATTTACTTTCCATGCCGAGGGGGGATACACAGCCTGAGTATGTCGAAAGAAACATATCGCAGATATAGCCACAAAAAGGCTGAAAACCTTTTACTAATGATCTTGTAATGCGTACAATTAAGTGTTAACATCTGGAATCGCTTTTAACCTGCTATACCACCCACTTGACCGATCAAATTCAAAAGTTGAGGCCATACCATACAGGAACTTTATCGCCCCAACAAACTTTGAAAAGCTACATGGTTAAATTATCCTTATCAACGTTACGATGACAACAGGTCACGAATTTTTCCTCGAATTTTTTCGCGCCAGGGGCTGGTTTTGTGACTTTACTTCTATCGTTTAACAGGTAATTAATAACGCTTTCGTGATTTGCAAATGTGTTTTTTGCTTGTACAGCTACGTGTACGACAAATGAAAACAAATAATAATAATAATCAAGATAATAATGATTTTAATAACTATAGCGGTAGAGATAATAATGGTGATCAGACTGATGATACTAACTTTAACCTTAATTGTTAATAACGAGAAAAAATGACAGTGATAAGAATAAAGGTAATAAATATTACAAACAATAGAAAATATGAAGAGAAATGGACTTACCTGGACAGCCATAAATCTCAACCCTCATAGATATGTGTCGGTACCAACTCACCGGTCTAATTCGTATGTAGCGTGCTCTGATTGGTTCGCGTATTTCGTGATAAACGACGGTCTCTCTGTCACTATTTCCACGAAAGACCTATGTAAATTATCAAGACAAGTGGAAAATTAGCTTTCGATCAGAACATCGATAAAGGTTTCATACACTCCCGAACAATAAAGCTTCTGGGAAGTTTCCCATTTGGGGTAACGTTGTCACATTGTCTTTTATAATTCTAAGATTTTATGTTCACTCCTGATCACTACTAGAAAGAAAAAAAAAACTACTTAGGTATACCTTTTCAGTTTCGAGTGGCTTCTCCCTATAAAACTGAAAAGTTACTCCATCGTCACTATACTGCAACTTATATGCTGTCACATATTCGTCATAGCGTTGTCTGCCTTGGGTCGCTATACCAGTCACTGTCGTGTATTGACCAAGATCCACTTGAAACCACTGGTTTAAATCATTTGCACGTGATGACCAACTTCCGGAGGTTCCCGGAAGTTTCTTATAATGTAACCTTCCTTGCCTGGCCCCACGATTGCCATCCCACTGTGAAGAAGCACTTATCTGTGCATCGGTGATTGCCCCGCTATCCATGCCAAGTGGTGCTGCACAACCTGTTTGTATTGAAACAGGACAAGAAAGTGAAAGGTGTATCTCTTTTCCAACAGTTAAAATCTTCGTTTCAGCGGAGCATGAGACGTTTGTTCTCTAACCTTAAATTTTCAAAAATTAATAAATCGGAACATTTCTCATCCGGCTCCCAAGATTTTTTTTTTAATTGTCAAAGAGTTATATTGATAGTCTGGTTGATTTTCAAGGTTTCAGTTACTTTTAAGGCTTTATTAAATCGTTTCTACCGCGTCAACTGTGTCGGGCTATTGCCAGTACGAATTGTACCTGGGCATCCGTAGATCTCCATTCTCATCGATATCCGGTCGTTCCAGGCCAGCGGTTTCAGTCGAATGTAACGAGTGGTTATTGGTGGGCTCAATATGTTATAAACAACAGTATTTTGGTCTTGATTCCCATCGAACTCCTAAACAATAGACAAAGGAATAATCATGTTTCATTTCGTTTGATGACGTATTCCAAACTTTTGTCCCAGTGTAAACAAAACTGTTCCGCTAGTAGTCTGTTAACAACCGGTAAAGCTAGATTCCTGCTGAAGGTTCTTAGATTACACACTGACTTCCCAATACTATTCGAGAAGATATCTTCTCACCAGGCTGGGGTCATACTATTCATAACTTTTGCCATCATAAGAAGCCGAGTCTACTCAGTGATTCGTTAGTAGGTAACCGACAGTAGTAGGTGATTACACGGGCTGCAAGTCTTTATAACGTATAGAGTTTTTCGGTGAAACGGCCACTGATGTTATCCCATACAGTGCCACAGTAATCAAAGTACGGTTCAACAATTGACTAAGACAGGTCAGAATTTGGAACAAAAAGCTTAGTGGATGAATAGATGAAAGAATGACTGGATTGGAAGATAAATGGATTGAGCGACTGGATGGATAAATGGGTGGATGAATAAAAGGATGAATGGATGGATTTATGGACGGATGGAGGGTAGAAGAGAGGGAGGGAAAGAGAAATGGATGGATGGATAGATAGATGAACTTCTTTTTTCGACCATGTTTCTTTTTCTCTTTTCTTTCTCTTGTGTCAGCTTTACACTCTTTCATGAAGCAGCAGCGAACGTTATCTGCATGATATCTGTTGACAAAAGTCTGTAATTTGGCAGAGAAAATGAAAGCTTAGGATATCTGGTACCTTTGCAGAGCTGGATGTAGCTTCCTTGTAGAGGTGGAAGGTTATTCCATCATCACTATATTGTAACATATATCTGGTCACCCACTGATCGTAGCCATTCATCCCCTGAGTCGCCAAACGCGTCACTTTTGTGTAACTACCAAAATCCACTTGAAGCCATTGGTCACGATCATTTGTGAGGGCCGACCAACCCCCAACTTTGTAACCATCCGCTTGGAAATGTAACCTGGCCTGTGATGCGGAGTGATTACCATCCAGTTGTGATGATGCTATTATCTGAGTATCAGATATCGATCCAAATGCCATTCCGAGAGGATTTATGCAACCTTAGTTTGACAAAAAAAGAATGGTGACAGTTTATAACAGATGCCATTATTTGATTGATAATAGCTACCTACTCCTGTCAGATATCGTCATTCACCACACACAAAACACCCCAGATAGCCTTTCCAAAAATGATTGACATGGGGGACAAGAGATGCAATTTGTTATTTGTACAGCAGCTCAAAAAGAAAGTCAAACGTTGGTATCTAATACTTCTCCATAAAAGTATGTAAGATTATTCTAGATACCTGGACAGCCATAGATCTCAATTCTCATTGATATTCGATTGTGCCACTCAGCGGGTTTGAATCGAATGTAACGCGTTATAATTGGTGGAGTCAGTGTGTTGTACACGACAGTGTCACTGTCTGTATTTCCATTGAAAACCTTGATAGAAAAACGCAAAATACCTTAGATGATTACTCAAAGATTTTTTGGAATTGATTTTTCTTAACGCCTAAATACAAAATGCCGCAGTTCTAGTTTCTTACAGTTCGTTTCAGATTAGCAACATTCTGATAAGGGTTGTCTACCATCGATTGGATGAACGTCGATCTCCAAAACAACAAATGTTTTAGCCAGTCTAATCCACATCTTTCCAGAACTGAACGCGGAAAGGATGAGCTCTAAGATTTTTGTGTGGTAAAACTTCGACAAATAAAATTGATGGGAGATTTCTATTCTCAAAACGCGTAAGTTAAAAGGAAACAAAATTTACTGGCTATCGAAAATTTTATTTATTTTCGCTGGATTCCTACAAAGTTGACAGGGGAATATTGAAATAGACTGGAAAGGCTTCACTTATTGGGATTGAACGAAATTTGTTTTGTAAATTTTTACTGCCTATTGCATTAGTGTCGACATTTTATTACTGAAATCTGGGAAAACTGCTTCACGATACAAACCTGCGCAGCAAAATGTCCTGGATCCTCAAAGAAATGAAAGATGTCTTCATTTTCACCGTATTGTAGTCTGAACTTGGTCACCCACTCGTCATGCCCATTCCTTCCCTGCGTAGCAATGCCCGTCACCCGTATGTAACTACTAAGGTCCACCTGAAGCCATTGGTTTACTTCATTTTTAAGCGCTGACCAGCTTCCTCCGTTTTCCCTATTTGCCTTTGAATGTAACCTGGAATGCTTTGCGGAGTGATTTTCATCCAGCTGTGTTGACGACTTGATTTGAGAATCCGAAATTTTGCGATTTTCCATGCCATACGGGGACATACAGCCTAGATTAAAAACGAAAACGATGTTTTTAGGAGATTGTCTCTCGACTAAAGGTAAAAGGATTGACCGGGGCTGGGTTCAATTCTTTCTGTAACAATACAAGCTCTGAATCAGGAGTATGATTATGGACAGAAACGTCTGTAACCCATTCATCAAAACTGTAGCAACATTTCAGGAACTAAATAATCATCGGTTAAACGTATTTATGAGTAAAAACATAGCAATAGATTTTTTTCCATAAGAAAGTGGCCCAAGCGTCGATACGGTAGCACACTTGAATGACGTTTACTGTCAAGTTACACATTGGTCACCGAAAAAGGCTTTTTATACCCTCCAGTTGCAATCATGACATCTGAACTGCTTTCTTAGTGCTTTTATCTGTCTGTTGTAACCAATTACGTTCGATAATGTTGGCATAGTCACTAGTTCAAAGATTGCAAAATACCTGGACAGCCATATAACTCCATCCTCATCGAGATGTGGTTATTCCACGTCATTGGTATCAGCCGTATGTACCGAGCTGTTATTGGCGAAGTTAGTTTGTTGTATACGACAGTATCTGAATCTCGGTTTCCATCAAAAACCTAAGTACAATGAGTGTAGATTTTAAAGAGATATTCTAAGATTTAAACATTGTTTGAGGACACTCCCATTTGTTTCTCCTTTCAAGGTGCGTCATAGTTGATATTTCATTCACGTCTGTAGTGCAGAATGTATTGGGTAAGGGAAAACATCCCTAATACGTTCATAAACTAAAGTGAGGTCCATGGTAGTAATCTATTTTAAATAGTTTGCTCTATAATGATTTATTTCGTTGTGAAAAATAGCCTATAGGGTAGGCCTATAAAGTGGGGTTTTACCTGTGAAATTGTTACCACACCTTTTCTGAGTTGCTGTCAGATTCCTTGTAGAACGTGAAGGTCACACCATCATCGCTATATTGCAAGCTGTATTTGGTTACCCATTCTTTGAATCCGTTTCTTCCCTGAGTCGCTATTACCGTTACCCGCGCAAAAGTATTAAGATCCACTTGTAGCCACTGATTACGATCATCTGTGAGAGCCGTCCAGCCACCTTGCTTTTGACCGTTCCTCGTAAGGTGTAGTCTACCTTGTATTGCAGAATGGTTTCCATCCAGTTGCGAGGAAGCACTTATCTGAGCATCTTCTATTGTCTGACTTTCCATTCCAAGGGCAGTCATACATGCTGAATTTGTTGTTAAGAGATAAGCGTCAGATACAGTTACTATCCAAACTTTACACGACACTTTTATTCACTTTCTCTTTCAATAATTGCCTCTGATAAACTATTGTAGTCACAAAAAGGATTGGTTGATTTCAGTCAAAATTTATTCAATTAAAGACGAAAATGATATCCCACGCATTCATCTCACTTCACCCTCTATTTCTCTCAAAAATTCTCTAATCAATAATGTACGAAACATGATGTTGCGACGCTGAGATCCTTCTGACTCGCTGGTATATGCCTGTGGCTGAAAGACTGTTTTTAAAATTTGACAGCTGATCTTGAAGTCCTATCAAGCCTCTCAGTCAATCTAGTTATTTGTTTTTCTAACGTTTTTTTGGCCAGCGGATTCTAAAATCCAGATTAATAATCGCCATACCTGGACAGCCAAAGATCTCTGTTCTCATGGAAATCTTATTGTGCCAACTGATTGGTATAAACCGTATAAACCTTGCTGTGATTGGAGGATTCAGATTGTTATATACAATGGTATCACTTCCTTTATTCCCATTCAGCACCTGTAAATTTTAAGCAGCATGGATTAAGTCTATTTTTTGAAGGGCCTTCGGAAGTGACAAACACTGTCTCTTCAAGGCCCTTACCTTTCATTTGTAATCAGAGTCAAACTATGTGTCATAGTAAAATTCCAAGAAAGTAAAAAACGCATGTTTCAAAATTATTGCATTTGTTGAAAACAGTATGTCACATTGAGGACAGCTAACTAAGACATACTGTCCATTCGCTGTCATCCTGTTGCTTGTAATTCTGGAGGTTTTTTCCATCGTCACTGAATTGTAACTTGTACTTGGTCACCCACTCGTTGTTGACATTCAACCCTTGAGTCGCCACGCGTGTCACCCTAGTATAACTCCCAAGATCGACCTGCAGCCATTGGTTTTCGTCGTTTGTCTGAGCTGACCATCCCCCAGCCTTGTTTTCGTCTTCTTTAAAATTCAACCTGGCCTGACTTGGTGAATGGTTGTCATCCAGTCGCGTAGAAGAAGTGACCTGGACATCAGTGATCGTTCCATCCTCCATACCAAGCGGTTCAAAGCATCCTGAATTGTTTTGAAAAAAAGGGCAAAAATTAAGAGAGAAGAAGAAGAAGTAAAATGAAGAAGAAAAAGAGAAAGAGCGAGAAGAATAAGAAAAAGCGAATGGGGTTGTCTATCTATTGCTGGAATGAGCTGACCAATCTCCGATTTGCTGCACAGGCGACCCGCTTGAAGCGCGCCGGAAAACGCCAGTGACTAAGTTGAGATTGGTTTAAGTTTTTCATTTGATTGGCTGAGATGATGACACGAGTTTTCTAGATCAACCACAGAGCGTAAGTACAGCAAAATCAAAGCAATCCAGGATCACTTTTTGATATAATTAATCGAAATCTATTCTAGTCGAGAATTGACAGACGTAATCGAAGATGTGGTCTGAGAGAGCTGTCCTTTCTGCAATGGCTAGTTCTAGTATTTGTTCGAGTTCTCAACTACCTGTGTTTGACTCAGGTACACTTTCTAGATGCAGTTTTTATCCAGACTACTATTTCAACTTTTAATGTTTATATATTGCGTTCACTTCATGAAACAGTTTATAAAAACTAGAGCGAATGACCCTCTAAAGTTTACAACTAATATGAAAGAGGTTCCAACAAGTCTTGATTCCAATCTGTACCACTACTGAAACAGTAACAGTGAGGCAGATTCTGATGTACCTGTTGGGATTGGTTTTAGTGGCAGAGATGGTGGCGCGAATCTTCCATACCAATCACAGTGCAAAGTAAAGCAAAATCAAAGCAATCTAGGATCACTACCGGTGATCAACTGAAATTTGCTTTGATAGAAAATTAAATGCCTTTAATGCATTGCCTTATTTATATGTTAGTTCTAATTCTCAACTACACGTAATATTTAATTAGGACATTTCTTTTAGCTGTTGTATCTTATACTGAATGTTTCAACCTTTAATGTTACATTATTGCGTTTATGTAATGAAGTATTTTATAAAAGCTAATGCGAATGATACTTTGAAAGATTAAGGTCACCAGTAATATGAGGTAGGTACAAATTAATACAACTACTGCAACAGCAACAATAAGATACACCACGATGTACCTGCGCAGCCATAGATTTCCACTCTCATAGAGATGTGACTTTGCCATTCCACCGGAATGAACCGGATGTAACGTGCCGTAATTTGCCTCACCAATTTGTGGTACACAATGCTGTCTCGGTCTTGATTACCACTAAACACCTGAAAAGAATATCATCATCTCTTATTCTATAGAGACATTGCGACAAGTAGATTTATGCTGACTTCTGAGACTCATTACAGAGCCGAGGACAAGTCTTCTATAACCGGATTGATCCTTCAGAAGATGAATGAAGTTTAACTTGTTACGAATCTGAATAGATTTACTGTGGAGAATTTTTTTTTTTAATCGAAGATGGCTAAGGAGGAAAAACCACAAAGCATATCCCGCCGGAATTTTTCCTATCAAATCTCCTCGCCTTTGACAGCTTTAATTTACTTGGATTGTAAAATATTCACTTTCATAGTTTACCATGATTTCTAAAGTTTCCGTACGGTTGAAAGTGATTTTTTTCTCTTCTGGAAAACGTATTGCATTTAGAATTTGAAATGGGTAAATTTTGTATGGCACTAGTAGTAGTTCTATAACATCACTACCGTGGCTGGCCTTCGCACTCTTTATCACTCATGTCTGTTACCAAACATAAAAAAAAAACAAGAAGAAAGACGAAAATACCTTGAATGAGTTGTCGCCTTTTTCTATGTAAAAATGAAAGTTCACTCCATCAGTACTATATTGCAACCTGTACTTAGTCACCCACTGCTGTAATCGTGGTGCATTCCTTCCCTGAGTCGCGACACCGGTCACAGTGGTATAGCTGGCAAGATCGACTTGAAGCCACTGTTTGAGATCCAGTACACGAGTTGACCAGGCTCCTCTCTTTACTCCAGTCAACTTCAAATTTAGCCTAGCCCTTGATGTGTCATGATTGCCATCCCACTGTGTAGAGGCGGTTATTTGTGCATCTTTGATTGCTCCACTTTCCATTCCAAGAGGTGTGCTACACACTGAAATAAGTGAACATAAAGTAATTGAGTAAGACATCGTTCAACTCGTTTGGAGCTTGGAAAAGAGAAAAGATCTGGATTCTTTTCGAAGAATCGAGTTTTAGAATCTCATATATATATATATATATATATATATATATATATATATATATATATATATATATATATAATATATAGAGTTAAGTGCACTATAAGGACGTAACGAAGAGGCCAACTCTTGACTGTTCTGGACGAGTTTAATGCACGACATTTCGGCCCTTCAGCCTTCTTCAGGTTAAAAATTAAAAGCTAAAGAGCTATTTACAATGATTGAGTTAATGTAATTACATTGCGCGTGGTAGCTCTAATTTACCTGCATCAGACTGTAATTCCACTCTCTCGAGCGATGTTACATTTGTATCTGCGTTATTTTTGTTATTTATCCTTTTACTTTAAAACTGATTCTTTATTTGCCGGTATACTTTCAAATCATAGGCTCCGAGGAAGTACCTCATGGGATGTCATAATTATTCATTTGAGAGGTGAGAGCTTTAAATCTTTACCATCTTTTTCCAATAGGGCGTGATGATCAATTTAGAAGCGTTAGCCAGGGCACCAAAACTTGGAGCCAAAAGTAAACCAAGACGACAATTATTTAAAAGTCACATGAATTAACGGCCAAACAGTGAAAAGAAAAAGAAAGGAATACGAAAGCGATCTTGGCAGTAATGAGCACCACTCAAGCAGAAGTATTCATATCCATTTCCTAATTAAACCTCAGTTCACATATTTGATTTTCATATATTCACAATCAGTGACAAAACTATCTGCAAATGATAGCAAATTCAACCTGTGCACAAGCAAGTAATATAATACGTTCAAATTCTGTCAAAAGATTTACGCTCTAGGAACGAAGTAGCTCAAAAGGTGAATGATCAAATAAAATGAAATCATAAAAATCTCAAAACATGATGAATAAGCTACCAAATATATGTAAAATATAGCCGGAACAGATACGCGAAATTAACTTAAAGAAAGAATAAAATCGCCTATAGTGGTTAATAAAGGAAATCTTAACCTTTAAACCGCAAAATATGGTAATCAATTTGAAGACAAGAATTACTGATTTCAAGACTTTGACTGAAGCCAGTTTCTTTCTAATTGAGTATTCTTCTGCACGTTTGCTCTTCGTTTCCAAGGTCTACAAAGGTTTACTTTGATCAAGAATGGAGCCAACGCCTTGATGATTTTAGCGCACGGTCCAACAAGATATTTCCATATCGATTGTTGGGACTTTTATCGTTGTCGATTTTATGAATTTGAAATTGAAATGAAATTTCACTCTTTGTTCAAGAGGTCTAAACGGATGCATTTTGATCAAGGATGGAGCGAAAAGAAGGAAAAATCAGCCGGATCATTTTACCTTTTTGCCCAACGACAGATGCCATTTTGAACTTTTTTGATAACTGAGTGTACTCAGGTAAAAATTTCGCCCTTAGTTTCAATCCTTAGGTTATTGAACGGAAGACAATAGTATAATACTAGGAACAAAGGTAAGCCTAATACGGGGAGGCAGGAGAGGATGCGTTTGATCAAAGTTTTAATGCATACATTAATTGTCTAACAGATCACAGAATGGGGTGAGTGAGTTAGTGAATGAGTGAATTTTCCTTCCATACTGAAAAACCTTACGGTAAGACCTACGTCATACCACGAGGTAAAAAAGGCCTGTTAAAAGGCACCCCTATTTGATTTTATCGGCATCATTTGTTACTGTTAAAACGTTACCTGTACAACCGTAGATCTCTATTCTCATCGCTATGTTTTTATGCCACGCTATGGGTAAGATCCTTATGTATCGTGCTGTGATTGGAGGTTTAAGAATGTTGAAAACAGCAGTTTCACTATCACCATTGCCGGGAAATATCTAAGCGAGAAAAACACAGAAAGCATCAAAATTGATGCATAAGGCTTGCGGATGATTAACAATGAAAGAAAAGAGCTCTGCGTCTGCCTTTTGTGATATATTTGAATGACACTCTCTAGTGGAGGTTTGTACAGCTTAGGAAAATACTCAATTACTAGAGAGGCTCTTTGGCTGGAAACCATCCCTTGAGATCTACAGTGTATCATGGCTTTTGCTCTCATTGGGTCAGAAAGCCACTTTCCTTTGCTTGATACAAATTCGTCGAATTGCAACAATAGCGAGAAAATTAACGCCGCTTGAATTGTTTATTTTTTGTCGTAAGACTGCTTTTAGCCAGATTGCATGTACAAATAAATATTGATAGAATTATAAAATCTCTTATTTAAATTTATTTCTGAAGTATTTTAACCATACCAATAATTCTCAAGGTAGCTCTGCACTGAATTAGTAGGCGCCACATACCTTGGGGTTGCCAACACTTTCCATGTAAGACTTGAAAGTGATTTCGTTAATACTGTACTCCAACTGGAAGGATGTCACCCACTGCTCATAGCCATCCATCCCTTGAGTTGCTACTCGTGTTACTCGAGTGTAACTATTAAGATCCACTTGAAGCCATTGATTACGGTCATTTGTTAGAGGAAGCCAACCTCCCTGTTTTATCCCACTCATCTTGGTATTCAGTCTGGCGCGCTTTGGCGCATGATTATCATCCAATTGTGATGATGCACTTATTTGGTCATCGGAGATCAGTCCGCTCTCCATACCGACGGGTGCAATGCAATCTAAAGGAGAAAAAGGACGATCAATTATCCTAACCAAATTCCCAGCCTGGGTACGTGATTTGTGATATGATGATTTTTGTCGAGTCATACTTACTGACGAAATGCTGATGACACCTTTCCTTTCTTTCCCTTCCATTCTCCGCCACTAACATTTTGGTTTTAATTTATTTGTGTGTATGCGTATAAACTTTTTGTTATTTACCAAAGTTGCGATTGGTTTGGGAAATTTAAGTAACTTAATTTATTCCTTCATTTTCAAGTGGAATAAGTTTTACAATTGTCATTTTTAGGAAGCGTCCTATGAATCATTTTGTCGATGGCTTAAAGAAGACCTTTTCGGATCCAAAAAACGTGTAATCGTGCCATGGTTAAAATCAGCTTATTTGCCTAGTCAAAGAACGTTGACTTTTCCTTTTTGAGGTGTAATCGACAACTTTTCCACTAAGCTTCAGAAGTAGAATAATTATAAGGTAGTCCCACAACTGGATGATCTTTGGTCGACAATTAGTCCGTGTAGCGTTTAACAACAAACAGCCGCGACAGATTTGAGTCAGCCCTAAAAATGACGTTCTCACTATCAAGTAATTTTGCTTTACATCAATGTCAGGTGGAAAAAATAATAAGAAGAGGCGAAATATCAACTAGTGAATATCATTTGATCTTACCACCAGATTCTCAGAATCACACTACACGGCAAATAGGATATTGAGAAAAGATTGACGGCTACAAACGTACACAACAATTAATTAAATTAATTAAATACATTTATATAGCGCCATCGTTCATTAATAGTCCATGGCGCTTTACAATACTCTAAAAACCGTAAAAACCATAAAAATTAAAATCCTAAGAATTAAATACACTATAACTACAAGTAAAAACTATAAATGAAATGCACGCTTAAAAAGATAAGTCTTAAGATTAGCCTTAAAAATTGCGTCTGATGATGAAAGCCTGATCTGGGGTGGTAGTTTATTCCAGAGCCTTGGTGCTGCCACGGAAAAAGCCCTTTCACCATACGTTTTAAGATTCTTAAGCTCTAGGTTCATCAAGCAACCTATTGTTTGAGGATCTTAGTGTGCGACGGGAGTCATGATACTTCAATAGGTCTTTAATGTAATCTGGGGCCAGTCCATTCAGAGCATTTTAAGTCAGCGACAGTATTTTGAAAACTATCCTATAATGGACTGGCAGCCAAAGTAAGCTCCTTAGTACTGGTGTGATTCAATGTGTCCTGCCTTCTAGTCAAGGTAACAAGGCGAGCTGCCGAGTTCTGTAAAAGCTGAAGTCTATTAATTAGATACTTCGGGAGACCATACAGTAAGGCATTACAATAGTCCAAACGCGATGTTATGTAAGCGTGAACAATAGCCTCAGTAGTACTCTGGGATAGGTATCGCCTAATTTTAGCTCTACTGCGAATGCGGAAAAATGCGCTCTTGCAGGTTATTTAATACAATCAATAAAGTTGGGAAAAATACTCCGGAACAATAGAATATCAAGAGAATTCAATATGGCAGCGATCACGGCTCGATCTGCAAAGAAGAGTGTTTCGTACCATGACTTATACAATTTGAGCACCGCAGATCTTCTATTTGATGAAAAGAAAAAGAAAAGAAGACCTGCAAGTAAATCTTTGGGATTTTTCGAGGCAAAGCGATGACATGATGTCAGAATTTTGATTTGCTTTAATTTAATTTTCGCGCTAAAACTACTGAATTTACATTCAATGCCTGGCATATTTTTATTCCGAAAAGGACCGAGAACTAATTTATTTCCCTGCAAGAACATAAACAAATATGACCGACGATTCGAAGATCAGCGTTGCTCGTGTTTAACCATTTCAGTCATAGTTTTCAATATGGCGTCTCGACACTTACTCAACATGGAAAATAAGGGATATTCTGGCGCGTTGGGAACTTTTTCGATGGGAGGAAATGGCAATTTTGCAGGATATTTGGACGCTTCGAACTCTGTAGCAGTCAATTCGATCGAGAGCAGTTGACTTTATTGATGCACTTTCCTGTAATAGGCGAGTGTTTGGGATGGAGAACGACGGATTTTGAAGAACTGTATGGCGACCTAGGTCAAAGATCAATGACAAAAGAACTGGCTCGGGAAGTAAGTGGTTTTATTTATCGAGTCCCTGTGAGGTTTGATGAATAGCAGAATCAGTACTGATCATGAGCTCCTGTTATATTTTAGAAATTTTACAAATTTCCATACAGTTTCTTATATTATTTGGACGCCATTATGGACGAAATGCGCGAGCATTGCCGCCATCTTGTCCAATATTTCTGCCGATGAGAAGAAGTCTTTCAGGTAAACGGCCAAAATTGACTTCTGGCAAATCTTTCAGGAATCAATTTTCGTTCTCAGCCGTGAGTAATGCCATTACCAAAGCCACTGAGTACGCAACTTTCGATATTTCTTTTCTTATATTGGTTTTCTTCCCGTTCTAGGAAAGTTTGAACGTCACTTTCTGCGAGCAACACAGAGTTTTTAATTTTTCAGCTGGCATAATCCGAAAAAAGTTCCGACAAACTACCTTTTATTAAGAATCTTGAAGGCTTTGCCGTTCATTTGTCAACTTGACCGAGTAGCGCGAAAGACGAGTGACGTGTCAGCAGCTGATTGGCGATATCAAACACACTTTCAAAAAATATCGTATTTTTTCACGTGTGTTGTTAAGGCTTTTCTCGCTGGAAATCCTTGTATAACACCGTAATTTATATGATAATCTTTATTTAGCCATTCTGCCTCCTGCTTCGCCAAAGAAGTGCCTTTCGATGAAAGACAAAACACCAAGATAACCTATCAAGAAAATATTTTGAAAGGCACAAATACCTGGACATCCAAAGAGCTCTATCCTCATGGAGATATGTTTATTCCACTGTGTTGGGATTATGCGGACATAGCGCGCTTTGAGTGGCGGACGAAGGGTATTATACACAACCTCGTTACGATCTTGGTTTCCCTTAAACTCCTGAAAATCGTCATGAATGTTACGGTCAAATTAAGATCTTATTTGAAGTCTGAATTGCGATGACTTACTCTATTGTTTGTTTGTTCGTTTGTTTAGCCGGCTTTACTTTCAGAATTGCAATTGAAATAACAAGTGATAATGAATAACTAAAGAAATAAATATCTCATTTTGCAGTGGCACACTAACAGAGTGCCTCCTTACCCGTGGTTATGTCCAGTTCATACTGAGTGCAAGCATTAAATTACAGGATTTGCAGATGTATATTTTCATTCATAAAATAATTAATTCCATCAGAACTTAACTCCGTTGATAAAATGCGCTAAATGAGGATAAACCATACCGTGACCGAAGTGTCCCCAGTTTTTTGGTAGAACTTGTACGTCAGTCCATTATCACTATACTGCAACTTGTATCTGGTCACCCATTCATCAATTCCGTTCACCCCCTGAGTCGCCAGTTGTGTCACATGAGTGTAACTACCAAAATCCACCTGAAGCCATTGGTTTATATCGCTCGTAAGAGCCGACCACCCTCCAGCTTTGTTTCCCACGGCTTGAAAATGCAACCTGCCCTGTACTGCGGAGTGGTTTCCATTCAATTGCGAAGAGGCGGTGATTTGCGCATCAGATATCGACCTACTTTCCATTCCAAGAGGGACAGTGCACTCTGTAATGAATGAATTTTGATATAAGTCTATTATAATGTTACTATTAATATGCAACTGAAATCTAGCTTCTAGGTATCTTTCACGTTTTGATACTTTACAAATATCTGCCTCAACTGAAAATTTTCAAACTTAGGCGTAAATTCAATGATCATATCACGCGATCATCGTTACATACACCTTCAGTTTATCCACGAATAAATCAGAGAGAATACACTATGACAAGGAAAAGATACTAAAAATTGAAGAAGCTTTCCTTTAACGAGAAAATGGCAATACATATTTTCAAGAAGTCAAGTCTTCATTCGTTACACTAGAAATGACTTCTACAGCCACAAAAATGTTTGTTTATTAACTGTTTTGAAAGCATGGCTTTAGTCTTCAATCAAAGATTTGTGATATGGGAAACGGTTTGAAACAATTATGAAGTATCAAATTTTTAACACTTTTAAAATTTGATATTTATAGATGAGTCTATTCCTGTTAAGCCTCAAACTTGTTGGGAGCTTCCCTACTCCCCCTGAATAAAATAATATTTTGACAATACCTAGGCAACCATGGATCTCGGTTCGCATTCCAATTCGATAATTCCAGAGTAAAGGTTTGAATCGAATGTAACGAGCTGTAATTGGTTGCCTCAACTTGTTTGACACAACTGAGTGGAAGTTTTGATTCCCACTGAGCACCTGTAAAATGATCATGAAACATAACACAACTTATTATCGACTTTTGCACTTCACACTATTGTTACCATTAAGACTTAACTCTTACTGTGTTCCCTTTTGGTAGAAGTATAATAGAAAGAACAGAAGAAAAGTGCTGTCCCTCTACTAAAACGAATTATGCACACATAACTGCCGTAACGAATGCATGAGTGACTATGAAATAAAAAGTTTTCTGCATGGCATGACGCCAAAGGAGATAACATAGTGATTAACTTCTCCCTGGAAACCAAGCTCAGACCGCAATAATCATATAACCATAAAAAAGTATTTTTAAACGTAAGCCATGAGCATTTTCAAATTCAATTCAATGTGACTTTCTGTGTATACCGTGGGTAGAGTTTCTCCAGGACCCTTGTAAAAATGAAAGGTTATTCCATCATCACTGTATTGTAGATTGTAACTAACTGTCCAACATTTTCGCCATCCTCGTAAGTTCACTCCTTGAGTTGCAACACTTGTTACGCTTGAGTAAGTTCCAAGATCCACCTGAAGCCATTGTCTAGGATAGACTGCTCTGGCAACCCAGCCGCCCAAGTTTAACCGTGCAAATTTTGCAGAATTGTCATTATTCCATTGGGTGGAGGCAGTGATTTGGGCATCGGAGATAACCTGACTCTCCATGCCAAGTGGTGAGGAACAACCTGAATGGGTTTAATCAGAAAGGAAACTCAAAAAGGTGCTTTAATATCCTTTTCAAGACAGGAATCTTTCACTCTAATCTATCAGGATGAAGATAAGTCGGGTACAAGTTTTAGAAGCAATTCTTGCATGATCAAAGATCATAGGCTAAGCTCTGAAAATTATGAAGGATCAGTACTCTAAACCACTGCTTCAAACACCTGCATATGTTTTTTGAAAAATTTGATTTCAAGCAAGAGTTCAAAAGTGTAATAAGATACTAAGGTTCCCTTCGCTCTTTGACAGGAAAATAATTTAGAAGAAACACGAAAGGCGTTTTAACATGATTTCGAACATTTTGTTTCTTAGGAGGTTTTCTTTCCTTGACCAGTTTTGTACACTATTTTCTCTTGGTCGGTTTTACTGTACTATAATTTGTTTGCATATTAAATTTGCCTTCTACGTCCAAAGGTGTTTTACGCCCATCTCGGCGTCTGCGAAATGTGTTCCTTTTGTAACACTAAATGTAATTTTTTCTAACTAAGAGACCATAATGTTATGAAATACCTCGACACCCATAAAGCTCCATTCTGAGTGATATATGGTTGTGCCATGTGACTGGTAAAAGCCTGATATAACGAGCTGTGATTGGTGAGATCAACTTGTTATACACAACTATATCACTGTCTTGATTGGCGTGAAGTACCTGATAGTTAAAACCAAAATCAGCTGAGCTCAAGTAGATACCTCGCCTTCGCAGGACAGTTCATATATACACAAAATTTGGAAAGACTGATAAACTTAAATGAGTGTCATTTGGTCCTATGCATACATCGTAGTTTTAAAGGTTTATTAGATTATGACGAAACTTCACTGATTCGTAAAGCTGCCAACTTTTTGTCAAAAAAAAAATGGAGTTTATCATCCCGAACGAATTTTCCTTTCGTGTCTTTAGATTTTGTTAAAGTTAGCCAAGTCAAACCCAGAAACGATGCTATTGATCACAACATTTTTTGGTGTATTAATTGATCGATGCAATACTAGAAAAGCCATAAAACGTTATACTATAAGGTTATGGTACATGTAGGTAAGTTTCATGGGAATCTCTTCTTTTTCATGACCTCTTGAAAAGAGAGTTGTAGGGAAAATTCATTCAGAGAAGGTTTCAGACGGAATGAATTCATAGAGTGATAATTCAAAGACACTTTACTTTTGCTGACATTTTCCCTGGCTCTTTGTATGACTGGAAGATCACTCCGTCAAAACTAAACTGTAACGTGAAAGTTTTTATCCACTGTCGCCAATTTGTTGAGTTCCTCCCTTGAGTCGCCACACCTGTCACAATGGTGTGACTGCCAAGATCCACCTGAAGCCATTGGTTACGATCATTTTTAAGAGACGACCACCCCCCTTGCTTGATTCCCTGTTCAATGAAGTTCAGTCTCGCCTGTCTTGATGTGCTGTTGTTGTTCATTCGCGAAGAAGCAGTTATCTGGGCACCAGAAATCGCCCCACTCTCCATTCCAAGGGCTCCTGCAAATTAAACAAACAGAAGAGTTAAAGCACTATTTATCTGTAAAATGTTCGAGTGTATCAAAATTTTTTCTTCGGGGATCTTCTTAAGATACATCTCAAACTCTGAAATTGTGCTAAGTAATTTTGTAATACTGTCAGTCAACAAACTCTTATCAGAACACTTAACAGCGCTTTAAGAGGCTTGGAAACCATAGAAAGAACCATTCTTATTTTTAGCATTATGTATCCTTAAAATGTGCGAGTGTATCAAAATTTTGTCTTCAAGGATCTTAAGATACATCTCAAACTCTGAAATTGCGCTAAATAATTTTGTAATACTGTCAATCAACAAACTCTTACCAAAACACTTAACAGCGTTATAAGAGGCTTGGAACCCATAGAAAGAACCATTCTTATCTGAGCTGAATATTACAAGGAGGCTGTTTGACGAAGAATAAATTCCATTCCTGGGGGGAGGCTGACCCCCATAGAACACTCCTAATACCTTCCCTGTTTGGTCATTGCCATCGTACACATAAACAGCGTCCGTGTTGTTCTCAGATTGTAGACTGAAGCGTGTAAAAATTAAGGCCACTTGAAAAGATGCTTTCACCATGATCCTCCATATGCAGTATTGCCCATCTGGGTATATTTCTGGATAGTTAGGTGAGTAAATGACGCCTTTTTGTCCCTGTAAAGTTTGGTTTTGACATTTATAGCCTCCTGCGAGTAAGAAAAAGTTAGTTGGGGTTATTTTCATTGAGCTCGGGGGCACAAAAAAATTGTCACAAGTTTCCGAAACTGCATGTAGTTATGTCCATTCTCGCAGCCCATGAAACTCGTCCTCTCTCACCTTTTCGCTCCTCTCACGAGCAATGCTCACTCAGACCGAGTAAGAGAGCTGAATTTAACAAACAAGCACACCTTTTTTCGAAGTACTGGTCGATCAAGTTAGAAACCCAGACCAAAGATCAAGCTCTATTCACTGATTTACGTACATCGGTAACTTGCAGTAACATATAAGAACGAAGAGATCTTAGAGATTTACCTGTTGGTCAAAGGTATCTACAATATAAGTGCAACAGATTATACTGACTTGACATACTTGATGAAAGGGGAATTTTCAGAGTTATTTGACTGGGCCCATGAAATCTCGCGTTCCAATGTTGTATCTTTTGTTGTGTCATCCAGGCTGGTTGTCCTGTGCCCGCGTAACCAGCAAATGCAAAAGATGACCGCATGCTTCCAAGAACAGGATCACGAGCCCCCAGTCTTTTGAGAGCGCTAACCGCTGATGAAGCATATCTCGAACCTTCGTCTTGAACACCGACCAAAACGATTTTGCTAACGGAAAAACATTTTTAAATAAAAAGCAAAGCAATGACTATTTTGCCAGTCGAAGATTAACTCAGTCCACGGTTTTAAACAGCTCCTTTATTGAATAATGCTTGGAGTAGTTGCGTTCAAAATCCAGTGGTGTCTCACAGTTCTTCTGACTAGCAAGTGGTAATGCAGTGAATTCCGTTTATGACGTCATCACGTTATGCGATTAGTATTAATGAATTGAAAATTGTGGCCTTAATTAGCTAGCGCAGTAGATAACATATTAAGCAATACAATGACGAAAAAGAGTAGTTTCAGGTTAGGTCTTGATTTTGACGTCATCTGTGTTCTATCACTGAGCAGACGCACAGCAACATCGAATCTTTTTGTTAACCCTTTAACTCCCAGAAGTGATTAACGAGTATCTTCTCCCTACAATATCCATTCACTATCCAGCAAATAGGTAATGAGAATACTCAAATGCATTAGGTAGAAGTTGTTATCTTGATCTAAAACCAAATTCTCGTAACTTATTTACAAGGAAATGAGTAGCAACTGGAGGGGAGAGTTAACAATCAGTTCTTGGGAGGTGAGGGTCAAATAGTGAGGTATCACATAACACTACATCTAAACATCTGAAATGAAGTTACATACTTTCCTCTAATGTTGTTGAGGTAGTCCCTTAGGTTGTTACCGGCAAATATATTCCCGTATGTGTCGAATTCTTTTGAATCAAGAATGACACCTGAATGATAAGAAAAATAATAAGATAAAAACATATGCCTAGTTTGAGAACCGGCAATTGTACACGAACCGAATCTTTTACAATGTTCATTTCTTAAATTACACTGGTACACTGTTCGTCTTGGGCTCAATGAATTATGAGCACATGAGAAAATGCTCTCGTGGTCTCTTTAGGTCGAATAATGTCCTAGACGTCTTCTCGTGGAATATTCGACAATATTCACTCTTTGACGCATAATTCTTCCAAGAAATAATGAAAAAAACTTCCTGAGAAACTCCGAAGGGCCATTTGAATTATGTCTGAGCCAAGAGGAGGTCTTTGCTTGTCACCATTATCTAGCTATCCCTTATGATAAATACGAATTTAGAAGTAAAATATTAACCGTGGTTCACACACCTGTTGCACCGTCCACAACAACAACATTATGTCCTCTGCCGTGACGAGAATAATCCTCGCCGTTCACCTTGATGTAAGCAATTCCGCATGTGTTCGGTGTCTTTGGCCGATCATCGCAACCTTCACTGCTAATGTAAACATCTATAACAGGAGCTACAATAGATGCTGCAACAAACCGAACATGCAGTTAGTTTAGTCACATCCACCATCAAAATGAGGGAAAATATCATAATAAGAACTCAGAGTAGACTTCCCGTTACACGGGAAAAACACGATTTACGATAACGCGGTTGGTTTTTATCATTCTATGACCTAATTGGTTGAGAGCGTGAGGTTATACGCAAACCAAAGCAATTTTGGATTGCTTTCGACGTTCAGATGAAAATGGGTTCATTACATGCAGCAACGACAGCAAATAGCAACAAATGTTTAAATGTTCCGCTTTTTAGCTTTTTGCCATGAAAGCGACCCCGGCTGGGCGGGCTACCCCACCTTGAGAGGTTGTCATGTCAAAAGGCGACGTGAATAACAGTGATGGTAAAGCAAGCTTAAAACAGCAGAAATCGCCAAAAACTACAACAGACACACGGGATGCGAGTAAGTTTTATTGATTTTACGCGTAAAATGTTCATACTTCGAAATATTTATCGTTGTAAATTGACCATATTTCGTTCTTCATGCTATTCCTTATAACGTGTTCAAATTTTCAACGGTTCCTCTCGTAACTTAACACCGTGTCACACAACGAGTGACGCTTTCATGAATTAGTCGGCTTTTTCTCGAGACATGAGCTTGGGCTGTCTGTGTGTAAACAGGCCCTCACATACTGAAAGACTGATACGAAAACTTGTCAAGAACACGGCGATTCTATCAGATTACATATTAGTAAACTGTGATAAAAATTGTCTGATAAGGAGAAATGTTCTGATATCGACCCTAGAAAACGGGTTTGCCAAAAGCAAACGTTGATACAATGTGGAAGCTGTCATCAAACTCTGTTTGAGTGCAAGGTCATATGATAACGAGCGATTATGCTCTAAGACTGAGAACAAATAAACAAACACAGAAAAATTAATCTAGACACACGCACACAATGATCCCTTCCATCTCTTCCCCCTCCTTTCAAAACTAGTTAAAAATGATGTGGAGGGTTACTTGAGAGATAAAGTTGATTGCGTTATGTAGATGGATTTTACACAAGACATAACAAGAAAATCCATGGATGTGTTTCGACTCGGCCAGAAGCTAGCGTTGTTCAGATTCTGTTGTATAAAAGCTAACAAGATCTAGGTTTCTCCTTCCGTTATAGTCTATCATAGGAAATTCCCCTCTTCAAACAATCGTGTACGACTTGGACTCTTTTGCACAGAAAAAAAAGAGAGAGCTACAGGAGTATCCGAGAGAGCTTGTGATATTACACAATTTGTCACGAGACAATTAAAAATTTTCTACCAGGTTTGTTTTAGAACTGCAATCGAAACACTTGTTGATTTAATACATTTCATCAGTTCTCTGAATCCTAAGGAAGGGTGATGAAATTTAGTTTTGAAGAATCGGTTGTAAGAGTAAGGGATTATTTCATATGTTATAAACAACATTTCGTTGGAAAGGTATTCGATTCATAGCGTTCATTGACCCTGCTAAATCCTCACCTGACGAAAAAAAACTGTTTAGCCAAGTAATCAGGCCTAAAGTTGTCCACATCGACATCCTGAATTCCTCATGGAAGATGTTACCAGACAGACGATCTGGAAAAAAATGAAATGCCTTTGCCCAAATCAGCTTTTTCTAGAATTATCACCTCAGGTCAAATCGTAATGCACGCTCGGGACAGATGTCAAATGGTCAATTCTACGTGTATTTTTCTATGCGGCAGTTTCGAGAATATCTTCAGTTTTCAATTACAACGTGCCCATGCATTCAAGTTTAAAAGTAAAGTCGAAATTAGATGTTATTATTCACCCGGAGTAAAGTTTTTCACTTCCCTAGAAGAAAGCAGAAATCGTTCCAATTCTTAAATCAGGAGACAGTTAGGAGTCCGCGAACACAAGACCAATTTCACTACTGCCTATTCTATCTAAAGTATGCGAAAGGGCAGCTCACTCACAGCTTGTCAATTTCCTCGACTCATGCAATGTCATACATCAAATGCAAAGTGGAAACAGAAAATTTCATTCGACCGAATCTGCGCTGCTTCACTTCACTGACGAATTGCTCAATAACATGGATCAAAGGAAGATGTCTGTCATCGTTCTCTTGGACATGTCCAAAGCTTTTGACAGCATTCGACATGACTTGATGTTGTGCAAACTTCGCAATACCGGTGTATCGGAACCTGCGTGTGCCTAGTTTGATAGCTATTTGTCACAACGTGAACAAGTTGTTAAGATTCAGGATACCTTGTCCAGCCCTCTACCCCTAACGGTTGGAGTACCGCAAGGATCCATTTTGGGTCCATTGTTGTTTACATTATACGTAAACGACCTCTTTCGAGTCCCAAAATACTTCAAACCTCTCTCTATGTGGATGACACAAAACTCTTTCTCGGGTTCCTGTCCAGCAAACTTCACGATGTTATCTCTGCTATAAACGAAGATCTTAAAGAAATATTAATTTGGTGTTGTAGAAATTCGCTGCTCATCAACCCCGATGAAACAAAACTCTTGCATATAGGCGTCCCCCAACTCATGAGGACTCTACCTGCCACCCTTTCAAGTGCCACGATATTGGGGACTAAAATTAAGCCTGTGGCAGTAACAAAGGACCTGGGAGTGCACATCAATTGTTATCTTAACTATAAAGAACAAATTGCTAAAACTGCCTCTGACTGTATGTTTAAACTAAGGAGGGGGTCAATAGGATAAAGCACCTTTTGGATCAAAGAACCCTGATGTATCTCATAAATGCTTTCGTCTTTTGCAAATTATTTTACTGTTCGACAGTTTGGAGCAATACCAGCAAAGAGAATATTAGAAAACTTCAGTTAGTCCAGAACTACGCCTGCAGGATCGTAACTGACTTAAAAAAGTATTATCATTTTTCAGAAGCCCTGAAGTCCGTTAAATGGCTTAACGTGAAGGGAAAACTGCTCTTCAACGACTTAGTTATGGTTTACAAATGCATGAACAACTTGACTCCTGACTATCTTCGTGAGCGATTTCAACACCGTGTTGCAGAATTCTCCACTGCGATAAGGAAAATCTCTGCGGAGCGCCGGTTCGACAATCAAAAGGACTGTATCTTTCTGATTTCTTGCGTTTATTTACGATCCATACAATATCCGAACTTTCTACATTCAAACGATCTCAAATCTAATCTTTTACAAAATAGCGATTTTTTTGTCTGGTGTTACAACGGAAATACACGCCTAAACTACTTAAATCCAAGATTGACATGATTTACTAAATCCCAAGCTATTTCCTGTCAACTTGATTTTAACAGCTTACACCCGCACGCACGCACTATTTGCTATTCGAATGACACATCACATAACGTCACAGGATTTTCCAAGCCAAACGCGCTCGCACAATTTCCCCAGGCAATTCCTTATCTTATTATTTCAGATCATTATTGATTTTCTATATAACGAACATTCTTACTACAAATCTGCCATTACAGTGCTACGTTCAATTATACACCTAAAGGGTAACTGACGGCTAACAGGTCACCTTTTCGAAATGCCGTCTAAATGCCGCGGGTAACACATTGAAACAGATACAAGGTGCTTCGTATGTCTCTTTGCGCCTTTTTTCGCCGGGAAAACTGCCCTAATTGCAGCTTCGTGAGTCATCCGCCGTAAACGCTTCGATTTTGATCATGTGACCTTCACGTCACACGTGTGTACATTAAGCAAAGTAAATATGGCGGATAATACTTTGGGTGAAAGCAGTTCTATTTCGGGGTCTGATTATTCGGATTTTGAGGCCTCGATGGAAGATAAACATAATGAAAGGTCTTATGAATCTGTTGTTGAAATCAGGCCCTGGCAATTTGAACCGCCAGGACGAACGTAACCTAAAATAGAGCGCGAGAGTCAGAGGAGTTCAAGAGCCCGTGCGTCACGGCCGCCTCAATCAAGAAAGCGAGAATGGTGAGTGCATTTACGATTGTAAATAAAGTATCTGAAAATCAGTCGCTTATCAGATGTAGGAGCGATCAAGTAAAGAAAACCAAATGTGCAGACTCTTGAATACCATGGGAGCGAAGTGTTTTTTTATGCCACACGCACGCACCTTCCGAAGCTAAGGTTTAACAGACTGAAAATATTAACATACACGCATGTGGAGGTAAATTGGATGGATTCTACACGTTCACACGCGATTGATTCTGCTTCACAATGTGCAATTTTCCTTTTATTCTAACTTTCATATATGTATGTTTTTCTTCTCTTACGATAACAATATCGTCCTTAATGTAACTATTAATTTAAATTATACTTAACATGCGGCGAACCCCAACTTATATCTACACATGACAGTGACCAATTCAAAAGCTTATTGGCTACTTTGGTCTCTGTACACAATTAAATATTCTTTCTTCTAGTTAATTTCTGTTTGTATTTTTTCTATATCATTGTAGATCATGTTATGTTAAGTTATTTTTTCTGTAAACAGTGTGAAATAATAAACTTGAACTTGAACTTGAACTTGAACTTGAACTTGACTTGAATTGAATCAGTTTTAAGTGTTCCTGTGTTGAATTTGGCGAACGATTGAAGATTTCTCGGCTTTTACTTTAAAACACGTTACAGCAAAAAATAGCACTCGCAGAATTGTAAATAAAGTACAATAGCCTAAAGTTTGAGTTATCTGTCAGAGCTGATAACTGTTCCTTTTGGTGAAACCAATCATACAAGTTGTGCTCTCTATTTTTTCTATTTAACATCGTGAAAAAAATTGCTACTTTACTGATTTTTTTATTACAAGGTGTCAGTGTGGAAACTGCCAATCAATGTGGAGGGAGGAACAAAACATCTTTTGCCAAGAGGTGGATGTGGTCAAAAATAAAAATTTGGAGGGTGTTACAGTGGACAGTTGCAGGCAGAAGCCAGATGTAATCTGAGAAACATTACGTGCTTGTTATTTCCGTAGCTCGAGTTTGTCGCGGACTCGGTTCCTTTTTTTTACCAAAGCTTTGCGTTTTAAACTGCGGGTGAAGGGTAGTCCCATGATATGTGCTTTAATGATTTCCTCTCTCAGGCCGTCGGCTTGCTTTATTTACGATAAACGAGCGCGAGTAATTTACTGTTCATTCAGCTGACATTGGTACATTTTTGAAACGAGTAGCCTTTCGGACAGGATTGATTTCATCATGTTTCCGGTCGCAAATGAGAAACAACGCTTGAGTGTGGCGCTCATAAAAAGGCGTTTCGTGTAACACTCGTTTACAGCATGTTTCTGTCATTATTCACTTCCATTAGGTTAAATTAGGCACACGAATGTGCTATATATGCTGCTCAGTGTTAGTTGTAACTCTCATCTAGCGACGAAACGCGTCGAAAGAAGTAACCAAAATTTACAAGAGTAGGAAGTCTTCCTTTGCGCTGCTCACTAGTTTCCGTTAAAGAAATTAAAAAAGGATAAATCTTGCACATTTCCGGAACGTGGAAGAAGAGTTTCGTTCACGAAACCAGATGGCGACCTCCTATAATACGCGACAACACTTTGTGTTTAGACACGCTCATTCCTGAACCGATGGGCCAGAGGACACAGTGATATACACCGGACAAATCTAAAGTCAAATACTTTTCAGCGTGGATTAAAACGTTTCTTTAAGCATAGGACTCGATAATGGTTCAGAGGAAAAAATTATGGGAACATATAAATTTTTACAACTGTTTGGAATGGCGTGCAAATTACTTATGGCTCTGAATACAGACATGCGATCTGTCGCGTTTTGATTATTCAGCCTTCGTTACTTTATTTCTCACTTCGTATTTCATAGTCTCTAAATGGTGACCTTTAAAAGAATGGAACATTTTTTTTCCGCTCGTAAATTTCGGCAGCAGCTGAACAGCCGGGACGAAATTGTTACCTTCATGTCTTGACATGAAGCTTTTCATTGCCTTACACACGTGTGACGTATCACATCAAGTGACCTGAAACGGACCGTTTTCAAAATGGCCGTCGATTGAGCGTCAAAAAAAAATTGTAGAAAATTTGATTTTGCACAATATATCGTTAATTTGCTAATTTAGGATTCTGTAACCTGAGAGGAATGTATTGGGACAAAAAAGGAGAAAATTATTAAATTAGAAAATAAAGTATCACGCGATATGCTTACAAGATTATCACACCGTTCTGACATTCACTAAGGAGACACCAGGCAAAAGAACGACCTCAGGTTGCCCAAGTGGCCAAAGGGCTTTTGCCTGCCGTAGGGTAAAAGTATTTAACTCTTTATCAAAGGAGATCAGAAAAACAAAAAGCCTTAACCTTTTTGGAAATAAAATTTTTAATAAATATTTCAATTCATAGATCATAACATGCTATTGTATTATCGAAATGTAAGCTGTTTTTGTAATCTATATTTTTATCTGTAAATAGTTTTTTTTCTTTTTTCTTTGTAACTCGATATTTTAATATTCATATATGGCGGAGGAGCCCCTAAGGGGGAGCTATGCAATAAAATATTATGTATGTATGTATGTATGTATGTATGTATGTATGAAAGTATACCATTCTCAATTTTTCAGACCCATGAAAGGACGT